TAATATATCTGTTTTGTCCAGACACTTGTAGAACAACACACCTGTAACACAACACGCCTTACTTTAAGTGTTTACTGGGATCTTAGCGTAAGTTGACGTCATACGAATACGTCTTCTATACAATACCCATCACTCCCCCTCCCCCTATAGTATTACACATACACTAAGGCAAACCCTCTACACACACACACACAGCCCAGTACACCCACCACGACACATACAAACACTTGCCCCAAAAACTTTATTTACGATTTGGTGAGAGACAATACGACACAATGGACGACGGATTTTGACAACCCTACCGAGACAACAGGAGTCGCAGTGTTCATTTTGAAATTCGTTAGATCCCTCCATAGAGATACTTTTTGGAGCGAGTACACCAAAACTTCCTCACACACCTAATACAACCCTTACACACAGCCCAACACACACAGAAACACATTCCTCGCACACTTAAACACTTGTTCTATACGTGGACACACACAGCAAGTATTAATTATTCATCTCTCTCTCTAGGTCCATTAAGGCTCAAACACCCTCCTATATGTCCACTTAACTCCAGCTTATTAAAGTGAATTGCTCTCTCCTTTTATTCCTTCTCTCTACTTCCTTCTGTCTTCTTTTTTCTTCTGTTTTCTGTGAAAGCAAGTGCATTCTCCATCCTCCATGCAGTAATTACCACGTTTCATCCTCGAGCAATTAGTTCCATTGTTTTTATCCTTCAAGCAGCCAAACACCTCCACTTGTCGTCCTTAATGCAAGCAACCACTTCCACTTTCCATCCTCATGCAATCAGGCACCTCCACTTTACATTCTTCATGCACCGACCTCCACTTTCCATCCTCCATGCAGCTAAGGCACCTGTACCCACTCCAGTACCCAAATAAACACACTTCTCAAACACTAGCCTTTTGTTTACCTATTCTGCTCTTCAACCATTCACCTGGTCATCAGTGCCTTTGCGCCTCTCTCTTGTCTATCTGTCTATCCTTCCTTTCCTCATATGGATCATAATTGTCTATTCTTCTGTCTTTTCGCGTAAAGTACATCCATTTATCTACCTCTACCCTCCTCTTTCTGTCACAATGTCTGCCTATCTTTCTCTGTCTCTCACTATCTCTGTCTCTCACGATGAAAAGGAGATGTAGAGGGCGAGGAAAGAGAAGAGGCAGGAGGACGAGGAGGAAGGATATGAAGGATGTGGTAGAAGGAGGAGGAGGAGGAAACGAAAACGAGGAAGAGTAGTAAGAGGAGAAAGAAGGAAGAGGAGGGACGAGGTATGGGACTTACAGCCATATTGGTCATAAAGACCCACTAAAGTGTCGTCCACCTCACCTTTTCGTTCCAATCAACCGCTGCTTACCTAACCACCTATTGTGTGTGTGTGTGTGTGTGTGTGTGTGTGTGTGTGTGTGTGTGTACTGTGACTCTCATCCCTACACCCTCAGCATATATACATCTATTTCCTTCATTTCTTCCTTCCTTTTCGTTTATTTAGGCATCATGTTTCCTCCTTCTTTTGTTACATCATCACTCAGTGCTTAAAATTTATGTAGATAACACAAACGCTAGCGGGAATACGTGTAAAAATATATTAAGAAAGTACCCCCTTCTGACGCATCACCCTGACTATGTAAACAGAGGCTCAGGGGAAGTACCGTACGTTGGGTAAAGGAAATGTTTCTCCTCTGCGTAAAATGACTACATAAACAGTGGTGAATATTTAAAAAAAAATTACATTGATGACAGAACTAAAAGAAAAAAACGACCTAAACTTCAACAACAATGGTCACTTAGCTATAAACACAAAGATGATCAAATTACAAAAAACGATAGTGACAAGACTACAAAAATAACAATAGTCTTCCTTATAAGCATACAAAAACAATAGTTCTCCGTGACACAGCCTCACTAAACAATATAATCTACCATCGTAACAGCAGGGGAGGGGGGGTGGGGGGAAGCGGTGGTTTACCTTTTTCGTTTTTAACCACCGGAGAAGATAAATAGAAAAAAAGGAAACCGTGTAAACCCGAGCCAGGAACAAGACATTTCACTCAGCCAAAGTAAGAACACGGGAGAAAATGAATCCGACTCAAGTTACGCGCGTCACCCCTTCAGACCTGCCTCGGTTTCTTTGGTATTTTTTCAGACGAACTTATCAACCTCTACAATTCCGTCCACTTCAACGTTACACTTATAGAATTGATAATGATCCAGCAAACACCAATCAATACTAAATTAAGTAAACATTATTAATTTTATTAGAAGCATAGCTCGTTGAATAGATAAGGATGGGAGACTGTATGTGATTAACCGGAGTGAGGGACAATAGATTCGAGTGTGTCGGAGGTGGGAGACAATCCTGGGCCCACACGACGCGGTTGAGGTATCAGATCTCCAGATTACTCACCAGAATGTAAGTGGGCAGCCGGAGAACATGATCGTCAGTGGTATGGTAGAGTTGGTACTGGTGTTTATATTTTTTCCTCTGGGGTTTAATCTATAAGTCTATCTATCTATAAACGGATGACCACCACAGCAAAGAAACTAATTATGTAAACGAATCAGGTCTTTATGATTGGTCTGTGAAAAGAAGAAATCTGCAATCTTATACCTAAAATGGTACAAATTGTAACCAGGTTAATACTCATCAAAACAAGAACAAAATGAATAATAATAATATTAATAATTATAATAATATAAAGACATCATAGCTTATAGTGCTCGGAACAGGAGAAAGAAACTATTTTAATGAAGAAATCTGACCCTTAAAAAAACCTGACTACCTTGAAGCTTTACAAACACATTGGCTTCATGGAAGAACGGACTACTGTAATTGTTGTTTATCAATGTCTACTGCTACGGATACCAATTTAGTCACAGTTCGTAGATGGGCTTTGGAATTTGTAAAACCCTTCACCCCTTAATTTCCCAGCTAGTAAATGAAGCGTCGTTAAAAAAAATTATGATGTATGATGTATCGTTAGGAATAATTTATCGAGCATAATATCACGTCTTAATACGTTATATAATATATATATATATATACTGTAGTACAACATTCATTGCCGAAATAGCCGAAAAGCGAATTGACCAGTAAGCCCAACACCAATTACCAGTTAAAATATAGCTATCAGACTACACAAAAGATTAGGTCTTTAAAATTCCTTTACTACATCTGATCTACATTAACTTCATAAAAATACATAAAATGGAATGGATATTACTTACTATGGCTGAGGTTTTTATGGCATGAGAGCTTGAAAACTAGCGACTTCATGTTCTCTTGCCTAGATATTCTTTAAGGGCGTCGAACTGTTTACACTCGTTCATGTGTTAGACTACATTAAAATTATTAAAAACAGACACTAAACCATTAGATAAGGTTAGAATAGCTTAATCTGGTTCATTTCAGTCAACTTTTCAAAGCTCAAATTCTCACCATCGGTCATGGAAATCATTTTCAGAATTTACCTGGACATTATTTTTTGTTCAATGCCTACCGTAATTAAGCAGAAATATGCTCGCATGACCTTATCCACATGTTAATCTTTCTAATATTTTGTGTAGTTATTAATAATCCACTCGCAGTTGACTGATAATCGTTGATACACTAATAAAGATCACTGTTGCCGTGTTCAAGCTTCAGGTGGAAATTTGTGCGGAATGATGTTACTCAAGAAGAACTAGTTCCCACAAATTTATAATATTGGAGGTCAATAAGGCATTTATTATTATTATCTAACGGACATTTCTTATGATTACGTACTGTACACATTCATTCTTCCTGTACTTATATGCGCCTTTAACGTTGTTTCTAAATAGATAAAATGAAGTGAAATATGATCTTATATTTTTACAGATTAAAAATTAGTAATTCTTCAGCAGAGACAGTGTTCTAATAAAACAAGCCAGCTGATGTTTTAACTGGGAAGACAGCTGGCCACATGGACTCTATTAATCAGGCATCGATAAGAAGCATGTAACGATAAATTGTTCAGAAAATCGACGACAGGTATGTTTCTAACGAGTGTACGAAGGTGACGAACGAACTGCTCTAGAAAATAGATGTATCTCCTTAAGATGAAAGTCAGGACAAACAATCATGTGAGTGAATGTATTGTGGCGTAAATAAAAATGAAATATAACAATACGATAAAAAGAGTGAACAATGGCGTCTGAACATCCAAAGACCGTAAGTGTAGTTCAAGACTAGAAAACTGAAGATTCCTCCACAAGTTAATGAAAGTTTAAAAAAAAGTGGTGTCTATATTTCTAGATGGCCATAAGTATACTTTATGACTAGAAATTGAGCAGTTACCTCTTAAACATTGAGCGACAAAGGAAAATGGTGTCTCATTTTCACCTAAAAGGCCCTTAGTGTAGTTTATGACTGGAAATTATAGTCGCCCTTAACACAGTGAATCGTAAAGGAAAATGGGCACCCTGCTACCCAGAATACCTGTAGCGTAGCTTACCACTATAGAAGACTACCAGGAGACCTTACGAACAGTGAGTAGTGAGGGAAGATGGTCGTGGTGCGGGCGGGGTCGTGGGCGTGGGCGTTGCTGGCCCTGGTGACAGCTGCTCGGGCCCGTATCTTTTGCTACAACGGAGGATACTGCGTTTACAACCGCTGTATCTGTCCCGAGGGCTTCTACGGCACTCTCTGTCAGTATGGTGAGTACACCTGCAATGCGCGTATGTATGTTGCTTACTGCTGTTATGTGCATCTGTCTCTGTTACCAGTATGACAAACACCTTTTACTGGTAAGTATTTTGTACATTTGTCTATGCTATGGGTAGGTTTAGTAGAACACATGTCTTAAGCATGTCATTCTCGCTGGTGATTCATCAGTACTACCACAACCACCAGTACTACCACAACCACCAGTACTACCACAACCACCAGTACTACCACAACCACCAGTACTACCACAACCACCAGTACTATCACAACCACCAGTACTACCACAACCACCAGTACTACCCACAACCACCAGTACTATCACAACCACCAGTACTACCACAACCGTGCACAAACCACAGTACTACCACAGTACCACCACAACCACCAGGTACTACCACAACCACCAGTACTACCACAACCACCAGTATCACAACCACCAGTACTACCACAACCACCAGTGCTACCACAACCACCAGTACTACTACTACACAACACAGTACTACTCAGTACTACCACAACAGTACTACCACACCCACCAGTACTACCACAACCACCAGTACTACCACAACCACCAGTACTATCACTACCACAACCACCAGTACTACCACAACCACCAGTACTACCACAACCACCAGTACTACCACAAACCACCAGTGGTACTACCACAAACACAGTACTACCACAACCACCAGCACAACCACCAGTACTACCACAACCACCAGTACTACCACAACCACCAGTACTACCACAGCCACCAGTACTACCACAACCACCAGTACTACCACAAACACAGTACTACCACAACCACCAGTACTACCACAACCACCAGTACTACCACAAACACAGTACTACCACAACCACAACCACCAGCACTGCTCCAACCACCACCACCCTGCACCTGTGTTAAAAATTAGAACACTAAACTTAAGATACACATTTACCAAACGTATACTACTTATATCATTTATCCTACATTTATATCACACTTACACTACACTTATATCACACTGACACTACACTTATATCAGACGTATACTACACTTAAACCACTTATAATATCTATCAGTCAACTTATATATGTAATTATGTATGTATGTATCTATCAATCCATATACCAAGCTTGACTCTCAGTTAAGGTAAGTGGTAAAGGCACAACCATACTGTACCTCTTACCATAGAGACTGGCTCGAGTCAAGTACTCCAGCTGGTCAGAATACCACTGTGAGTGTTCCTGTTAACAGTCTTGAAGTGTTGGATCCGGCACCACCCAGGCTTGTACCATGACTGTATCTCGTAACTGAAGATGTGTGTTAAGGGATCGCTTGATGATCCTCCCCCCTTCATAACTTGGGTTAACCTAACTTAATATGACCTAATCTAACCTAACCGCAGCTTATTTCACCTTATGATTAACCATCTTAACGATAATCTAACAACATAACATTTCACAACCCACAGGTTAGGTTAAGGTATTTAATCATCAAGTGAAATAAGCTGGGGGATGGCTAATCTTCTGGTGATCCGATGTATGAACGCGCCTTACTGGTCAACTTAATATAAAACATTAAAACTAAATCAAAATGATACTGAGACTCTACCATAAGCAGATAAATTCACTACGCACAAGATAAAGTTAATGTATTGGTTTAATTTGGTTGATTTTATGGGTTAATTTTGTCCACTTGATGTTATGTGAAATTCTATAATTAAGTTTTACTCTCACATCATCACTTACGAGGAATGGTCATGGTGCAAGCCTTTGTGAAGCTATACTCTGCACTCCAAATATCACCGGTACTTGAGGCTAAGGGCCAGACCTCTAGATATAGCCAGCACTCGACGCTAAGGGCCGGAGCTGTGAATGTTGTGCAAGCCCTTGAAGATTACGGGACCAGACCTCTCAATTATCACCAGAAATTCGGTGTTGGGGGTCCTGTGCCAGAGACCGACCCACTACCAGGCCCTCACCTCAGAACGGAACCTTACTTAATGTAATCAAACGAGCATACTAATCTATTCTAAGGGAGCCTTATGTAACCTAGCCTAACCTAACTTATCCTAACCTATAGTAACGTAACTTAAACTAGCATATCCTTCTCTAACCTATTCCAATCTAACCTAGTCTATCCTTCACTAATCTAATCTAACCTAACCTAACCCAGTCTATCCTTCCCTAACCTAACCTATCCAAATCTACCGCTAACCTACCCTGACCTAGCAGTATCCTATCACTTTAAATATGTCACAACAAAAGACGAGGCACAGTGGCTGATATCAAGCGAAAATAATTATAATACTGCCTTCATCTCCTGTCTGTAGTTAAGAACATAATGATGATTCTAGTTTAATCACACTTTCTTAACTGCTATTGATCCACACCTGTATATGACCCACATACACACACCTGAGACTCCCCTGGCCTGGTGTGTGAGGGGTCTCGCTAACACTCAGGTACACAATAACACAGGGTCGTGTTAAGTGGTGTGACCCTGTAACATTAGTGTCACATAAGTCGACCCTCTGGTGCTCAAGGGACCTTCTGCCTCACTGGGGTTCTTCAAGGGGGTTGTCTGGGGCCACCACCTTGTTAGTAAGGTATTCTGTTTTTGGCCTGCTTTCTCTCTCTCTCTCTCTCTCTCTCTCTCTCTTTCACACACACTATGTTGGGTGTAAAATGGATAACCTACCTGCAACTCTTATCATCTGTGGCTCCTCTGATTCCTAACTTACCCTGTCTGAAGACCTGCAAGTTACCTCACAGGTGTGTTTCTCGAGCTTCACCACCTGTTCTTACTATTTAGTAAATTTGTAACACTTAATAACTATAAATGTTGTTTAGCATGCGTCCTAACATCTTAAGGTCAGATTCTCAAAAATTCATAGGTTAAATTTTGTCATCTACCTTGGGATAAGAGAATGCATTGTATTACGAGCATCTCACTTTAATATTTAATATCATATTCGTTGTCTTTTATGCCACAGCTTAAGTGAGATGAATAGAAAATTCCTCAGATCATCAAGTCAGGGGATATTAAGTATAAACTCTATTGGTAAATCATCCTTGTGTCATGGGTTCGATGCGCCAGTTATATACCTCCTTACCTCCCAAGTTTAGAGGAAATTGACCATGTGAGTCTTTGAGAATTCATCTGGGTCCCGTTGGCTAAGTGAGCAGATTGAAAAGGTACCCACATCCCCAGTAAGAAGGGATTATAACGCAAGAACCTTTGAGAATCCCCCATTGAATCGTAAATTTAGATTGGATAGAAGTGTACCCACGTCTCCTGTTCAGGGAAGAAATTTTAACGTACGAATCTCTGAGAATCCACCATTGTGTCGTCAATTTAGGTGAGGACGTTAAGATATGTTCCTATGTCTCCAGTTACGAGGGAATTTTATCATACAAACCTCTGAGCGTCCACAGCCACACAACCCTCCTCTCCCATCTACTTCCCACCTCTCCCATCTACTTCCCACCTCTCCCATCTACTTCCCACCTCTCCCGTCAACTTCCCACCTCTCCCGTCAACTTCCCACCTCTCCCATCTACCTGCCCTTCTCCATCTCCCCTGCTGTAGGAGATGGGACACAGGAGAGAGAGGAGATGAGGGGGGGGGGTCTCCCATGTTGTCACCCAATCCTTCCTCCCCTCTATCCAAGCGTGTACTCAAGGATGGGGAGAGAGGGGGGGGGAGGGAGTTGAGGATGAGGGGGGAGAAAACCTTTCCTAGATGGTTGGTTAACTGTGAACTATGTCTTATAGTTCAAGACACAACAGCGATACACACACTAACGCAGATCATACCGAGGCTTGACTCAATGTACACTGTAGTATTAATAAAACATTTCTCTGTGTCTTTGGTACTAATAAGCACTGTTCGATCACGTGAACATCACTTAGCCACAATAGTAGAGGTAATAGTTGTGGTGGTGGCTATAATTGTGGTGGGTGTTATTGTATTAGAATTAGTGGTGATAGTTGTTGTGGTGGTGGGTGTAATAGTAATGAGTGTTACCCATGGTAGTGGTAATAGTGGTATTGTGTGATAGTTGTTGTGGTGGTGGGTGTAATAGTAATGAGTGTTACCCATGGTAGTGGTAATAGTGGTATTGGTGATAGTGGTTGTGGTGATACTGAAGTTCTAGTATTAACGCTCGACCACCTAAACGACTGATTTTCTCGAAACCTAACCTAACTCAATCTGAGTAAACCTAACTTAACTTAATCTTACCTGACTTATCATAACCTAATCCGACATAATCTAACCAAACTTAATTTAATTTTACCTGACCTAACCTTACCAAACTTAACTCACTCTAACTAAACCTAACTTAACTTAATCTTACCTGACCTATCCTAACCTAATCCGACTTAATCTAACCCAACTTAATTTAATTTTACCTGACCTAACCTTACCTAACTTAACTCAGTCTAACTAAACCTAACTTAATTTAATCTTACCTGACCTATCATAACCTTCCCTGACTTAACCTAACCCAACCTAACTTAATCCAACTTAATTTAATCTTACCGGATCTAACCTAACCTAATCAAATTATCCTAACCAAACCTAAAGTGAAGATTCCACCCCTCTCTTCACTATCTCCCTCCCCTCACCTCTATATCCCTCCTCCATATCCTTGATGACAGGTGTGGGAGGGAGGAGTCAGGGCCTGCAGTCAAGTGCTGGTGATAGCTAAGAGGCAACCCCATAAACTTTATCATTACGAGACAAGTTGATAGGTTAGAGTGGCAACTTAAAGGAATCTACGTAGACACACACGACCTTCTCAAGTGGTGGGAGGCTGGTGGTGTTGGTGTGGTGTATATAAGTGTATAGATGTGGTATGCGCAGGTGTGTGGGGGGGACGTGTAAGTTTAGTGCATACAGGTACAGCATCGAGGCTACACAGGTGTAATTTGTGACGTGTGCAGATGGGATACATTTTGAGATGTAGAAAAACGTCCCATTTACCTAATGTGTATACAGCACAACATATAAAAGACCTGCATAATGACAGCGTGTTTTTATACACACAGTAGCCTACGTGTTGTAAAACTAATTTGTCCTAACTTTGGATACTTGTAACGTGTATGTGAATGTTTCACTTTGATGCGGCGAAAGCTTTAGGTCTGCATACCCAGATGTTCATGTTTGCATAACACTAAGAAGTACTATTTCGAATGAGCTCAAGGATTTACAACATCTAATAAGAGTTCAAAATTGGTTCATACAGTAACATCTTAATCAAGGAAGTGTTTGTCAGTCGTGTTTCGGTCAAAACATTTGGAGACGTGATCACCTAATCAGGTAAGCTTTTCCATCAATCTATAAAACGCAGTGTTATGTTGTGCTGTCTCAGCTTAATTTGTGTTTGTAACTAGCCGAGTTCGTGATTGTGACGTCTAGTACTGTCATTGTGGGTTCTCGGTGTTGGGCAAACTTCCCCTTTCTTGCTTGTAGTTTTTATATCAAGTGCGAGCCGTAGATGCCGTTTTCCCTTAGGAAAGCAATTTTGGGAGGCAGTTTTTTGGGGGTTTGTAAACACGTCTGATTGTCGCTACAACATTCTTGGCGTCAGCGAAAGACATGCTACCTCGGAGGTAAACAAATCAAACATGCCAGTGGTAAGATGATTTTATCCTTCTCATTATTTTATACCTTTATCGAATATATTCCCTCCTTTGGCCTCTCGTTAGGTGTGTAAAAGCTCTTCAAACTTAGTCAATAACACGATGATAAAAGCTAAGATGACGTCAAAATGACAATGCGACTTTTATGGCGTTACGTTCTTAAGTCATAACCAAAATACACAAAGGATCTCACAGTTGCAGCCATGAGACGAACTTGAGAAAAAAATACATGATCCTGATTCTACGAGGAACACAAAAACAATATAAAAAATCACATCAAAATTATACCAAAATTCTAATTTAACTAGACCCGTTCACTTAACACCAGTCAGGACAAAAAATCTTTGGGAAAAAGTTAGTGTTCTTGTATCCAATGAAAGTGTGTTCAATAGGCCAAAAGGTATATATAGCCTTCGGTACACAAGGAATCCCTGTCCCTGGAATATGTTCTTAGGTCTGTATCTGTCACTGACGTTTCTTAATTAATAAACTTCCTGAGCCTGACCCTGAGACAGGTATGAGAGCTTGTGAGTAACTCCCTCTATTGACTGACCCCCTGTGAGTGACCCTACGGCCCTCGTCTGCCGCCTCTTGACTGTCTGAGTGACGGCGAGTGATGTCGGTGGGCAAATATGGCGGCCACCTGATTGATCGCCCACGGTTGCTCTCCTGTTTATTTATCCCCAAACTCTATAACGGCTCTCTCAAGGAGGATAGAGACCAAGAAGCTTTAATATACTAGAATGAGTCAATATTTAGCTCTACAAAGAGTCCCCTGGTAAACTAGGGATAAAGTAATAGTCGGCATAAGATTTAATACCCCTTGAGAGGTACGAAGAAAAAAACAGACGGAGTTAAAGTGGTGTTGAAAACCTTTTAAGGGAGTGAGAACCTTTTCGGTGTGGGGACTCGAGGGTTGGATATTCAGACGTTTATAAGCGTTGGAAAACAAACTTAGCTTTGACTGAAACTATAACTAATGTTTTATTTTATTGCATTGAAAGCAACAGTACAGATACAGGTACAAGGTAGAGACGCAAGTACAAGTAAATGTATAAGTACAGTAAGAGATACAAAGACAAATGCAGTTAGAGTAATAGGTAAAGGAGACACACACACACACAGTCGGCAACCTCTGCTGATAGTGACATGATGGACGTTATGTCATGAAGCCTAAACACCATCGTTGACAACCTTCCCATTACCTATCACCCATCACTTGTCTCCAGTCCCTATTACCCATCCCACCTTTCCTCCCCTTCCCATCAGTCCTCTTCTATCTCTTCTACCCCTATTACCCATCCCACCTTTCCTACCCTTCCCATCAGTCCTTTTCTATCTCTTCTACCCCTATTACCCATCCCATAACTCTTCCCTCTCCCCTATATCCATCTCTCTCCCTTCGCCATATTCTCCCATCTCTCCTTCATCACCCATCCCACTTCTACTCTTCTCCATTATCTTCCTTGCCTCTCCCCATCACCCACCCCACCTCCTCTCCTCTCCTCTCTCTCTCTCCAACTCCTCTCTCAACCTCCTATCCATCCACACCTCACCTCCTCTCTCCTTTTAGTCCACCCCACAAATTCACTCCACCACTGACGGAGCTCCTCAGATCCACTCAATATAACCTTATTACACGAAAACGCAACTAAATTCGACTAAACTTAAGTGTGTGTCGCCAGCTCTATATATTACTTATTCACTCATTCATTGGTAGTCATTATACTCAGATAAGCATTCATTCACTCGCGAGTTGGCATTCACTCACTCACTCACTCGCTCACTGACGGAGACACTGTGATTTCTACCTTACCGAGGAGAGATGGTGATTTGTTCTTCTTGCAATAAGCATTTTTGTGAATCTATCTTTGTGTTTAAGTTTAATATGATATTGAGGTATAATTTTGGATCAACTTAAAGAAAGGAAAATTTAATCTACGACTCTTAAGAGAATCAAGAAAGCATTACGTGTGTGTGTGTGTGTGTGTGTGTGTGTGTGTGTGTGTGTGTGTGTGTGTGTGTGTGTGTCGTCATGAGTAGTGGTGAAAAACCTGACGTAACTTGAGGCTCAGGGGTTGGTCACATATCGCACGAACTCCTTCCTCCCTCCCTCCACCCTTCCGTCCCTCCCTCCCTTCCTTCCTTCGTCTCCTCCTTCCTTCTCGTCTACCCTCACACGCACACACTCACACACACACACACACACACACACACACACACACACACACACACACACACACACACACACACACACACACCACACAAATGGTTAGGAAGTATGGCAAACTAGCACACTACTGTAGGAGGCAGTATGGTGGGGCAATGGTAACATAAGATAGGCGGAGAGTATGGTAGAAGCTCTCAAGTAAGCATGGTAGCACATCCAAGACCACCAGAAAACCAACCAACAATGGTATCATGGTATGAGGAGAGGGTGAACCACTATCCCTAATGGTTCTCTCCTACTTAATGGTCCCAAAGAAGGTTCACATACAGTGTTATGCAAATTAAGTACCTGTTTTATGTTGCAATTAGCTTGAGAATGTAGATTGTCATTTAGGTCAAGTGGGTTTGTCGTTATGGAAATCTCTCTCTCTCTCTCTCTCTCTCTCTCTCTCTAACGATCTCTTTCACAGTCTCTAGATAAGAGATAATCTGGTTGTTTACTTTAAGTGCCGTAAAGCTGCTTATTTGTTTATTTATCTTCATTATTTATTCATCATTCAACAGACGTTATGAGAGAGGAAAAAAAATTTAACTTAAGGATTTTATGTGTGTACCTGCTTTGTGTCCCTATATATACAGGTGAACCAATGTGAATTTGTATAAAGATTTTCCCTAATATGTATGTATGTATGTATGTATGTATGTATGTATGTATGTGTGTATGTATGATGTAACGCGAGGCATTCATATATCACCAGACCATATACGAACCTTTGAGAATCCATCTTTGTTGTGTCGTATAAGTGCATGAATTAAGAGCTGCTTTTTTTTTTCATCAATTACGAAAAAAAAAAACTCAATGACTGAATTTTTCAAGCTAGATGCTAAGATGTTGGTGTGATGAAAATGTATCGTAAATGGTTATAAAATTACATCAAACTAATTGTCTTAAGATAAAACCCCAAAATTAACTTATATAATCCTTGGAGGCATTATCATCTCCGTTCATATTTTCTCTTGTGAATGATTTGTTTATTGTATAATTTTCTTATTTTGGGTTATGATTAAAATAGAGATTAAATGTAATTATGACCCTAATAATAATGTAATTTTTGTGCCATAAGGTAATCAATCAGATACGTTCTAATATCTTCACTTACAAGAGGAATTCATCTTAAGACACTCTGAGAATCTGGTCGAGTAAGTCAGCGTTTTCTGTGTGTGTGTGTGTGTGTGTGTGTGTTCTCTGGCGATCATGTTATACAGACGACCTCCCTGAAGACCTCATAGGGGTCCCAAGGGTACCTAAGGGGCGGGGACCTCCTGCCACAGGGTGTTGGTGTTTTAATGAGGACATGAGGGAGGAGAATACCTTGATGGCCAAGTGCTGCTTGAGTTGAGTCAATCCCCGGGTGAGTGGGTGAAGGAGAAGGTGGTGGTGGTGGAGATAGAGGTGGTGGTGTTGTTGTTGTGGATAAGTGGTTCTCAGGTACTGGGTCTTTCTTTCTTTCTTTCTTTCTTTCTTTCTTTCTTTCTTTCTTTCTTGCTTTCTTTCTTTCTTTCTTTTCTCTCTCTGTTAAACGTTTTCACTTTACATCTTCCCCCCATCCTCTTCTTCCTGATACTTTTCCCTTTCTTCTTCTCTTATTATACCCACTTTCATCCATTTGCTGCTACTTCTACTCTTCATTACGTTTCTCTACTATTTTTACTACTACTACTCTTAATAGTATTACAACGAGAACAACAATTACCACTACTATTACAATTACTATTATTATCACTATTACAACAACTACTACCACAAGTACTATTATTACCATTACAACATCTACTATTACTGCCTAAGAATTTATAAACAAAAAACTCATCATATCTAAAACTCATTATACCTCAGGATTAGTATACCTAGGACTAAGTCTGTGCCTCGCCTCCCCCAGACCGTGACGAGTGCGCCCAGGACAACGGCGGATGTGAGCAGGAGTGTAGGAATACGCTGGGGTCCTACGTGTGCTGCTGCAGTCAGGGATACAAGCTCCTGCCTAACAAGAAGTCCTGTCAGGGTATGTACGCCTTTTCATCTTGAGTTACAGACCTCCTTGAATGTGTAGGATCTGTTTCCTTCCTGTCCTAAATATTTTCCTTACGATGTTGGTACTTTTTTCCTGGGTTAGTAATATTGCTAAGCATATAATCTGTTAATTAAGCCTCCACAAATTCAGGTGATATAATTCTGAAAATTCAACTGATTTCCGACTATGGCAAAAAAATCCCTCCAGACAGCTGCATGGAACCTCTGTTAAGTGTTACACACCTGTAATTACCTATGTTACAGAGGTTAACGAATGTGACGACCACAACGGCGGGTGTTCTCATACTTGCGTCAACACCGTCGGCTCCTACGAGTGTCGCTGTCAGCCCGGCCACCGCCTCCTGCCCGACGGACGTACTTGTAAGTGTGTGTGTGTATGTGTGTGTGTGTGTGTGTGTGTGTGTGTGTGTGTGTGTATTTGTATTTTTACGTATTCATACATATGTACATAACTAATCTGTATTCCAAACATTTCCATTGTTTCCCCTTAAAAATCCTCTCACATGAAAACAACATCAAACAGAAAGGCACTACAAGCACACCTAACCACAGCTTACAAATGAACTTACACAAACTACCTTTCTACTGTCCCTTCTTGCCCCTTCCACCAGCTAACACCCTCTCCTCACACTTCCCACAGGTCTACCTCCGCCAGGCAGCTCCTCTGTGGTGATCAATAGTAGGAGTTGTGAGGTAAGGAACGGCGGCTGTCAGCACCTGTGTCGGGAGGTCCAGGGGCGTGTCACCTGCTCCTGTAGGCGGGGGTAAGTTACTAATTCACCAGCCCCCTCGTTATCTGTTTAAGCTAACGTGTAGGAGTGCAGTTACCTGTAGGAATAGTTAAGGGTGTTGTAGGGAGAGTGGATATAAGGGTGTTGTAGGGAGAGTGGATATAATGGAGTTGTAGGGAGAGTGGATATAAGGGTGTTAGAGGGAGTGGATATAAGGGCGTTATAGGGAGTGAATATAAGGTTGTTGTAGTGAGAGTGGATATAAGGGTGTTATAGGGAGTGGATATAAGGGTGTTGTAGGGAGAGTGGATATAAGGGTGTTGTAGGGAGAGTGGATATAAGGGTGTTGTAGGGAGAGTGGATATAAGGGTGTTGTAGGGAGAGTGGATATAAGGGTGCTGTAGGGAGAGTGGATATAAGGGTGCTGTAGGGAGAGTGGATATAAGGGTGTTGTAGGGAGAGTGGATATAAGGGTGTTGTAGGGAGAGTGGATATAAGGGTGTTGTAGGGAGAGTGGATATAAGGGTGTTGTAGGGAGTGGGTGAGAGTAGTGGTGGAGTCGACTCATTTAATCCATCATAGTACAGTACAACTGTCGGGTTAGATGCCTCTATTTGTTCTTATATTGTCTTTTGTCATTTCTATATCTATTAAGTATTCTAAGTATGTAAACAACGGGGGCATTGTCATGTTTATTGAATGTGACGGCGAAGGATATTAATGCAAATGGTGTCATCAGTTACCGCCTGTCGGGGGACGAACGGCAATGCCTTCCTACCAACCCTTGTTCTGTTGACAATGGAGGCTGTCACGACCGCTGTCATGTCGACCAGGGGAGGGTGCGATGCTCCTGCCGGCAGGGGTACAATCTGGACAACGACCAGAAAACCTGCATCGACCAGGATGAGTGCCAAACATCCGGCATCTGCAGCCAGCAGTGCCGAAACACCCCAGGGTCCTACCAGTGTGTCTGTTTCACTGGTTATGAGCTGGGTGCTGACGGCAGGTCCTGTGTCAGTAAGTTGTTATCCAAGCTAGTACAGTACAGGCTACCGATTATCCCAGGCTACTCATTAGATCAGAATCCCTCAATATGACACATATCCACCACCATCATGACTCAAAACTTCACCATACTCACACACTGCTCCTTCTACCCATCAGGGATGAGGGTGGTGAATCCGTGCCTCACCAACAACGGCGGCTGTCAACACCTGTGTCACTACAACGGCGATAAAGTCAATGATGAAGGAAGAACCACCCCAGCTTTCGTTTGTAGATGTCACCCAGGGTATCACCTCCATCCTGATGGGAAGAGTTGTCAGGTGAGTATACATTGCCTGTTTGTCTGTCTGTTTGTATCTCTCATATGTTTGCTTCTGTCTCAGTCTCAATCTATCTGTCTCTCTCCGCCATTCTGTCTCTGTCTCTATTTGTTAATTTTAATCAACTGGCTGAAAGATAGATAGACAGACAGAATGAAAGAGAGAGAGAGAATGAGCAGCCTCCCTTTATGACAACAGTTACTAACCCTGACTTACTTACTATCGTGTATTGCCATGATAGAATCTTGTGTCATGGGTTATGGCGAGTGCCACACACTGACGTGATGATGTGTACACAGGACGTGGACGAGTGCCGTGTGGGGGGTCACAGGTGCCAGCAGCAGTGTATCAACACTCAGGGCGGCTACACCTGCGCCTGTAGCTCCGGATACACCCTCAGCACCAACGGCTTTTCCTGTACAGGTAAGAGTATTGTGTGTTGTGTGTGTGTGTATGTGTACTTTTGCCTATTGTAAATATCATATCCACATTAATAATATATTTGATACATTCAATGAACAATCCTTCGATAAATATTAATGTACTAATAGTATAATAATAATAATAATAATAATAATAATAATAATAATAATAATAATATAATTATAATAATATTAAAAATAATAATAATTATAATAATCATAATAATAATAATAGTAACTACAGTATAGGAATAACAGATCACTTGAAGATTAGACACCCACAGATTAATTAACCTGAAGATCAATCACCCTAACGCTAACCAAACGTAACCTAAATCAAACCTACCCTAACCCAACCCAACCCCCACAATTCACTTACCAACAGACGTGGATGAGTGTAGTGGGCGCAGGCGAGCCAGTTGTGATCACTACTGCAGGAACACCCAGGGATCATTCACCTGCTCCTGCCGTAGGGGGTACATCCTCATTGACGACACCCGCTGTATAGGTACGTCAGTCACAAATCTTCTCACTCTTTTTTCTGTCTTTCTATTTCTTCTTTTCACTTTCTCTCTCTTCTTTTCTCTCTCTATCTTTCTTTTTCTCTCTCACAGCACGATGATTGAGCCCCCTTGTAGAGAAAAAAGTGGTTCATTAGTACAATACAAGATTTTGAGGCTTCATGCACTCTGCTGACATTGTTGATTCATTGTTTGATCTGTGTTCGCATAATGAAGCATTAGTTTATTGTTTGGTGTAAAAAAGGATGAAGCTTCTATCTTTTTGTGTTTGTCTGATGGAGAGTTCATTGTTTGCTGTAAGAAACACAATATAAACTTTATGTCTTTTGTATACAGTGAACTATTTGATGGAGTTTATTGTTTGTTGTAGAAAAATATGAAATGTCTATTCTCAATGTTTACTATGTTTACTGGAGAGTTAATTGTTTGCTGTAAGTAAATACTCCAGGAAGCATCATTGTGTGCACGTGTATATAAATTTTTGCTCTCTATAAATAAAAATCTTTACCATTTTTAATTTTTGCATGTTCAGATCACTGTTTGAGAAGTTGAGTGACCAATGTAACACACCTGAAACACTAGACACAGTGCTCTTTCTTGTTTTGTATTCTGGGTTCTGTCCCGAAATCACACATTGACTTATATTCTAAATTAACATGAAGACATTAAGATCACTCAGTCTGCCATATTGTGCTTTGGTTACAGCTGATAGATAGACAGACAGACAGACAGACAGACAGACAGACAGACAGACAGATAGATACAGACAAACAGATAGATAGTTAGATAGTTAGATAGACAGATAGATTAATAGATTGATTCAGTAAAATTATCATATATGTTTACACTGATTCATCATGTTCTGTACATAGACAATGCAGGTATACATTATAGATAAGCAGTGTGGATCTACAATGCATATAGATAGCGCAGGCAAATAAACACTTTATTTAGCCAGAATAAAACAGATTCAAACACTCTATATAGTTAATACAGTACAGATATAAGCAATATATTTAGTCAGAATAACAAATATAAAATACAGTTTATTTAGCATATAAGGGCAAATACAAACAGATTAAAACAAATACAAAATAAACAGTATTGACTTGGTTGAACCATTCGAGTGCTGTGGAAATCCTGAAAGTTTAATATTAGCATAGAGTTATTTCATTCATTTTAATTATATATTTTTGGATCACTTAAAAATTATGCACACCCGCTAATATCACCTGAAGATTAGCCATCCCAATGCTACCTGGGGGATTAGGTTAAGTTAGGTTGAGGGGTTAAGTTAGTGTTTGGTTGAATTAGGTTAGCGTTAGGATGGTTAATCTGCAGGTGAAATTAGCTAGGGTGACTATTCTTCAGTGAATCCCATTTTAGATTATTTTGACATCAGTTAAAGATAATTATCTAACATTATTATTATTATTATTTTTATTATTATTATTATTATTATCATTATTATTATTATAAATATTATCATTAAAGGTATTATCATTATTATTATTACAGTATCATTATTATTATTATTATTATTATTTTATTTCTGTTTGTCCTGTGCCCTAGTGACGTCCAGAGGCCTTGACCACGGCTCCGTTACATCTCACGGGGACTACGACTTTCCGACGGGGGACGACCTGGAGACGATAGTGGAGGAGGACCTCTTGATGTTGGAGAACGATCTATCGAGGGTGGGAGGAGGGTGGATAGTGAACCAGCAGGAGGAAAAGAAGGAGGAGGAGGAGAGGAGGAAAAGAATAGAGGAGGAGGAGAGACGCAGAAAAATAGAGGAGGAGGAGGAAAGGCAGAGAAGAATAGAGGAGGAGGAGAGGCGGAGAAGAATAGAGGTGGAAGAAGAAAGACGGAGAAGAATAGAGGAGGAGGAGGATGAGGAGAGGCGGAGAAGAATAAAGGAGGGGGAGGAGAGGCGGAGATTAGAGGAGGAGGAGAGACGGAGAATAGAGGAAGAAAAGAAGAGGCGGCGAATGGAAGAAGAGGAGAGGCGAAGAATGGAGGAGGAGGAGAGGCGGAGAAGACTGGAGGAGGAGGAAGAGAGGCAGAGAAGAGTAGAGGAGGAGGAGGAGAGGCAAAGAAAAATGGAGGAGGAGGAAGAGAGGCGGAGAAGAGCAGAAGAGGAAAAGGAGAGGAAGAGAATGGAAGAGGAAGAGGAAAAGCAGAGAAGAAAAGAGGAAGAGGAGAGGCGCAGGAGAGTAGAGGAGGAGGAAGAGAGACAGAGAAGGATAGAAGAGGAGGAGGAGAGGCGGAGAAGAATAGAAGAGGAGGAAAGGCGGAGAAGAATAGGGGAGGAAGAGAGAAGGAGAAGAATGAAGGAGGAAGAGAGACGGAGAAAGGAGGCAGAGGAGGAAGAGAGGCGAAGGTTTGAGAAGGGAAGAAGGCACTGGGGAGAAGATAGCTACGAGGGTCCAAGAGTGGATAAAGGACAGGCCACATGGTCGACGAATAAGAAAAACGTAGTAATAGATGAGAGGAAGGAATGGAACACAGGTGGAGGAAGATCACGCGATGGGAGATTTAGACCGGGCCAAGTTGATGAAAGGAGGAGATGGGAGACGAGAGATAGGGGGCCAGTAGATGAGGATAAACAGCGGAGAACGGATAGGGTGGATAACAGGAGGTGGTGGGAAAGAGAAAGAAATGTGAGTGTAGTTGGAGAAGGGAGATGGAAGCCAGACCATGTCGACGAAAGGAGATGGAAAACAGGCGGAGAAAGGCCAGGAGATAGAAAGGAGACAAGGAGAACGGACCAAATTCATGAAACGAAGACATGGGAGATAGATGGAGGAAGCCTAGGAGATATAGAGGGGACATGGAGACCAGACCAAATAGACAAGGAGGAGAGGTGGCATGTAGATCAAAATGTATCAGTGGAAGAGGGAGGGGAAAGGGAAGGAAGAGGAGGAGGAAAAGAAAGAGAAGGAGAAGGAAGGAACGGAGAGGGCAGGAAGCACTGGACAGTTATTGAGACCAACGTGTCAGTGGTGGAGGAAACAGACAGGGTGGTGCCAAAAGTTAATGGGTCCCCTGATGCGACTCGACACTGGGGCACAGACGAGAAGACCATGATAGTTGATGAGGAGCGGCAGGGAGTGGACACAGAGGAAGACATGCAAGAGGAGAAAGAGGTATGGCCGATGGAAGAGGAAGAAGTGGGAGAGGAGGAGGTGGAAGTGGGTGTGCCGTCGATAGGAGAGGAGGAGGATGGGGTTGAAGAGACGCCATCAATAGGAGAGAAGGAGGAGGAGGTGGAGGAAGTCGGAGAGGTTGTGTCGTCAACGGAAGAGGAAGACGATGTAGTGACGATCTCCGAGCACACCACCAACGTCACCACAATACACCACAGTCAGTCACCATACAAGTTCACTACCAAACTAGTTGTCTTATTGTTTTATGTTCACACAGCTTAAACAAATAAGTTTGTTGACATTAAATGGTTAATTTCTGTACATAAGCATAATCTTGTTACTTTGTTATCCTTTGCTATTTACACTCAATAGTTTGTCATAGCTTGTAATTGTCCACTGGCTTAAATACTAGAAATGTGAGTGAATTAAGAAAGATAGTAAATATAGTTTATTTATGAATGGAAATAGAAATAAGAATGAAAAATATATGCCAGCTTTCCATACAATAGATCAACTAATTCTCTATCATTCTCTCATTCTAGCATGTCCCCCAGGGTACTACGGACCTGTCTGCCAGCACCCTTGCCAACAAGGTTTTTACGGGCCAGGATGTAAACAGGTGAGTTACCCTTCATACCTTTCCGACCTGACCACCTAAAAATAAAATAACTATTATAATTGTGTAGAAGCAGATGACACATATGGATAAATGCTACTTATACAATATTACTTTTCTAAAAATGGATCATTTGAAAATTAGGCACCTCAGCTCACCTTAACCTAAGCTCATTGAACCCCAAGGTAGTGATAGGGTGTTTATTCATCTGGTGAAATAAGCGAGAATGCCTAATCTTCACGTTGTCTCTAAAAACAAATGTCTTCAAATTTGCTTACAAGTGACCAGGGTGAGAGTTGCATCGTTCAGACCTTCGCCTCCCTGGGGATAATCTTTTACTTGTAATAACTTCTCAGTTGAACTTTGACCTCAGGTGTGCCAGTGTCAAAATGGAGGGACGTGCGATGTGGTATCAGGGACATGCACGTGTCCGCCAGGTGTATCTGGGACACTGTGTGAGGATGGCTGCCCGGCAGGTGAGTCACCCCTCCAGTTTACCTTATAGGTGGCAGGAGAGTCACCCTAATCTGAACAACAATGTGAGACTAAAACCCATAATAGCAGACGAAATACTTAAAATACCAAGCAGTTTCGGCAGAGTTACAAATAAAGACTGCCACATTCATCACTACAAAACTCCTTATATCCAATACACGTGACGTCACTTCACAATCACATCACCTGGCCCCTATCCTGACCTAATCAAAGGTGATCACCGCCGTGACGTGTCACGGGAGGTAGTGGTCAGGTGATATGATTGTTGCCGAAACTTTTTGGTATAAATATTTTCTCTGCCATTGTGGGTTTTATTCTCTTATCTTACAGATGGATGGTCAAAGAGAAAGGCTTGTGAGAGTAATAATGACATGTGTGTAGCAAATGTAGTGACAGGTGTACAGCAGGTGTGGTGACAGGTGTGGTGTGTTACAGGGTACTATGGGTCCTCATGTCGTAGGAGATGCCCCATGGTGTGTCCCAACAAACACTGCAACAGATTCTTCGGGTTCTGTGAGTGTGACCTGGGGCGCTTCGGACCCACCTGCACTTTGCCCTGCCCCGCCTTCACCTGGGGTGGTAACTGCCGCCACCACTGTCAGTGCACGATCCGCACCACCACCCGCTGCCACCCAGAGGTAAGAGTGCCATCACTAACTGCCATCACGAGATAAGAGTGCCATTACCAGAGACATTAATGCCTCCACCAGTTGCTGTCACGAGGTAAGAGTTCCATCACTGGAGACATCAATGCCTCCACCAGCTGCCACCATGAGGTAAGAGTGCCATCACTGGAAACATCAATGCTTCTACCAGCTGCCATCACGAGGTAAGAGTGCCATTACCGGAGACATCAATGCCTCCACCAGCTGCCACCATGAGGTAAGAGTGCCATCACTTTTGACATCAATGCCTCCACCAGCTGCCATCATGAGGTAAGAGTGCCATCACTGGAGATATCAATGCCTCTACCAGCTGCCATTACGAGGTAAGAGAGCCATCACTGAAGACATCAATGCCACCACTAGATGCCATGACGAGGTAAGAGTGCCATTACCGGAGACATCAATGCCACCACCAGCTGCCATCACGAGGTAAAGAGACATCACTGGAGACATCAATGCTACCACCAGATGCCATCACAAGGTAAGAGTGCCATTACCGGAGACATCGCTCCCACCGGCTGCCACCATGAGGTAAGAGTGCCATCACTTTTGACATCAATGCCTCCCAGCCGCCACCATGAGGAGGCAGAGTGCCATCACTTTTGACATCAATGCCACCACTAGATGCCATGACGAGGTAAGAGGCCATTACCGGAGACATCACGCCACCACCAGCTGCCATCACGAGGTAAGAGTGTCATCACCGGAGAAATCCCATGCCACCACTAGATGTCATCAAGAGGTAACAGTGCCATCACCAGCTGCCATCAAGAGGTAAGAGTGCCACCACTGGAAACAGCAACAGCACCACCATAGCAAGGTCAGTAGTGCTACTTTGATGCCACCCCTAGCTGGTTAGAAAGTGAGTCTTACCACCTAACTCCCCTGAGAGAGAGAGAGAGAGAGAGAGAGAGAGAGAGAGAGAGAGAGAGAGAGAGAGAGAGAGAGAGAGAGAGAGAGAGAGAGAGAGAGAGAGAGAGAGAGAGAGAGAGAGAGAGAGAGAGAGAGAGAGAGAGAGAGAGAGAGAGAGAGAGAGAGAGAGAGAGAGAGAGAGAGAGAGAGAGAGAGAGAGAGAGAGAGAGAGAGAGAGAGAGAGAGAGAGAGAGAGAGAGAGAGAGAGAGAGAGAGAGAGAGAGAGAGAGAGAGAGAGAGAGAGAGAGAGAGAGAGAGAGAGAGAGAGAGAGAGAGAGAGAGAGAGAGAGAGAGAGAGAGAGAGAGAGAGAGAGAGAGAGAGAGAGAGAGAGAGAGAGAGAGAGAGAGAGAGAGAGAGAGAGAGAGAGAGAGAGAGAGAGAGAGAGAGAGAGAGAGAGAGAGAGAGAGAGAGAGAGAGAGAGAGAGAGAGAGAGAGAGAGAGAGAGAGAGAGAGAGAGAGAGAGAGAGAGAGAGAGAGAGAGAGAGAGAGAGAGAGAGAGAGAGAGAGAGAGAGAGAGAGAGAGAGAGAGAGAGAGAGAGAGAGAGAGAGAGAGAGAGAGAGAGAGAGAGAGAGAGAGAGAGAGAGAGAGAGAGAGAGAGAGAGAGAGAGAGAGAGAGAGAGAGAGAGAGAGAGAGAGAGAGAGAGAGAGAGAGAGAGAGAGAGAGAGAGAGAGAGAGAGAGAGAGAGAGAGAGAGAGAGAGAGAGAGAGAGAGAGAGAGAGAGAGAGAGAGAGAGAGAGAGAGAGAGAGAGAGAGAGAGAGAGAGAGAGAGAGAGAGAGAGAGAGAGAGAGAGAGAGAGAGAGAGAGAGAGAGAGAGAGAGAGAGAGAGAGAGAGAGAGAGAGAGAGAGAGAGAGAGAGAGAGAGAGAGAGAGAGAGAGAGAGAGAGAGAGAGAGAGAGAGAGAGAGAGAGAGTTACCGTCTAACCCTCCCCCATCTGCTGCCTCACCCTTACACCTCTTAGACAGGTACGTGTGAGTGTCAGCCTGGCTACGTGGGGGTCGACTGCTCTGAGGGGTGCCGGCCTGGACTTTGGGGTGACGGGTGCCAGCAAAAGTGCCAGTGTACCAACGGTGCCGCCTGCCATGCTTCCACTGGCACCTGCGTCCAGGACTGCCCCGCTGGACTTACTGGAAAGGACTGTCGGACTCGTAAGTAGATTACATTTAACACAAATGATACACTTAGCACTTATGGTATACTAAATATTTATGGTACACTCAATACTTATGGTGCATTTAGCACTTACGGTACACTTAGCACTTTTGGTACACTAAATACTTCTGGTACACTTGTGGTTTCTGGTACACTTAACACTTATAGTGCACTTGACTTAATGTATTGTACACTTAGCACTTAAGGTACCCTTAGCCTATGGTAAACTAAATACTTATGACATAAGTATTTTACCATGAGCATTAGGTGTACCATAGGTCTTATGGTACACCTAATGCGCATGGTAAAATTTGAACATAAAGTACATTTAACACTAATGGTACACCCAACACAAGGGTACACTTATCATTTGTGATACACTTAAACACTTACTGTATGGTAAACTTAGCACTAATGATACATTTAATGGGTATGGTACACTTAGCATGTATGTTGCACTTAATAATTATAATATTTCTAAGCACTTATGATATACTCAGCACATATAATGAACACTTATGTTACTTATGTTTCACTTATTACTTTTAATAAAATAATAGATATTAAAGTATTTAATTAGTTTTTATAGGTGAGAAACTAGCTCCTGAGGAAAAACCCAAGCCTATAATGCTGTGAGAGAGAGAGAGAGAGAGAGAGAGAGAGAGAGAGAGAGAGAGAGAGAATTAATTAAATGCATGTCGTAAGCCCGGTGTGTGATCACTAAAGAGAGAGAGAGAGAGAAAGGGTCACCTATATGTCGTGAGTACAGCATGTGAAGGGGGACACTATGGGCCGGGGTGCGTCGAGACCTGTCAGTGCGGGGACCGAACCTGTGATCCCGTGACCGGCGAATGTCGGTGTCCACCAGGCAGCCACGGGCCAAACTGCAGTCAGCGTGAGTAGTGTAACAGCTGTGTGAGTGACATAGCAGCTGTCTAAGTGACATAACACCTGTAATAGTAGCATAACATGTGTGAGTGACCTAACATGTCTCTGGAATTGTAACACCTGTACAGTATTAGCAGCCTAACAGATGTGTAAATGATGTAACATCTGTATATTTGACATAACAGCTGTGTGAGTGATGTAACATCTGAATGAGCGACGTAACATACCGTAACACGTGTGTTAGTAATGTTACTTCTTAAATTGGGTTACTCACCCCTTGAGTACAATGACTTACGCTACCAGTACAATAACTAACCCTTTGAGTACGATCACTAATCCTTGGAGTATTGGTCACTAATGATTTGAGTATAATCCTTAACCCTTTGAGTATGAAGACGAAATCACTTGAGGACAAGGATTAAATATTAACACTACAGACAAGTTCTAATACAGTACTGCAATTTAACCCTTTCAAATATCTGTCAATACTGTAGATAGATAGATAGATAGATAGATAGACTGACTGATTGATTGATAGATAGATAGATATATAGATATACTGGTTGGATTGTAATACAGACAGATAGAATATATATATATATATATATATATATATATATATATATATAATTTGGCCTTTAAATAGCACGGCAATTGTCGGTAGTCAGGTCAGAGAGTAAGGTGAGAAGGTTGGGTCACCTTACCCTCTGACCTGACTACCGACCATTGGGGTGCTATTTAAAGATTAGTAGGGTCATTACCTAATACCTGACCATTGTGGACCTGGTCTCACCCTCCTCTGTATATATACACCTTGTTTTGTACTTTTCTTTAGTCTGTACTCACCCCTGAAGATGTGAATTACACAAAAGTGCTTGGGAACTTCATGTTTTCTTCTTTCCTTGTGGTTATCAGCATATACTATATATATATATATATATATATATATATATATATATATAGATAATGATTACTTGATATGAAAACATAGCTAGTTAGATATATTAATAAGTAGATACAATACAGTTACCTAAATAGATGATAGCTAGTTAGATTTTATAAATGAATATCACTCTTCTGGCCAGAATGCAGGAGGGTCAGTGGGGTGAAAGCTGCCTGCAAGAGTGCCAGTGCCAGGGAAACCACTCAGACAGTGTTCCGGGGAATGCCACTGTCCCCCGGTCTGGGTGAGTACTTTAATGTATGGATCCAGTGTTAGATTTGGAAAGAAATGTGTTCAGGCTTCTTACGTAAAAGCACAGACATTAGCATAAAGCAAGTATAACTTTACAGTGTATAAAGTACAAGTGTTGGGTATAACGTACAGGTGTTGGGGTATAACTTACAGGTGCTGGGTATAAAGCACAAGTGTTAGTACAAAGTACAGGTGTTGGGGTATAAAGCACAGGTGTTGGGTATAAAGTACAAGTGTTGGGTATAAAGTACAAGTGTTGGGTATAAAGTACAAGTGTTGGGTATAAAGTACAAGTGTTGGGTATAACGTACAGGTGTTGGGTATAAAGTACAGTTGTTACGTAGAAGTACAAGTGTTGGGTATAAAGTACAAGTGTTGGGTATAAAGTACAAGTGTTGGGTATAAAGTACAAGTGTTGGGTATAACGTACAGGTGTTGGGTATAAAGTACAAGTGTTGGGTATAACGTACAGGTGTTGGGTATAAAGTACAGTTGTTACGTAGAAGTACAAGTGTTGGGTATAAAGTACAGGTGTTGGGTATAAAGTACAAGTGTTGGGTATAAAGTACAAGTGTTGGGTATAACGTACAGTTGTTACGTAAAAGTACAAGTGTTGGGTATAAAGTACAGGTACAGTAATGTCTATCTGCATATTAATTAAGAAATATCAATACCCCTGTACAACAAAAGGTTCTAGATATAAGACACAGGATTAGTTATCATCTGGGGTTAATGGTAGTGACTTACAGGGTCAGTGTATGGTTACAGAGTTGTCATGACATTGATTTTTTGAACCTGTGTTGTGTTTGTGTGCGAATGCTGGAGTCACTAACACATGTCCAAGTGACTCATATATTGATATAATTCACAGAGTATCTTTTGTGTGTAGTACCCCAGTACTAGTTATTTTTATCATTAGATCCGAATGAAACTGAAACATCAGCTTGAAATATATACGAAACTGTTATTGATTCACAGAAGGGAATAATGGTCAGTGTTCATTATAAATAGAGAAATGTAGAGTTTATATCCTACTGGTCATGGTAATGTGTTCATCCTTGTTGTGTTGTGTGCTGCAGGGTAAGGACTGCCAGGAGAGGTGTGCCACCGGCCGCTGGGGGGTGGACTGCCGGTACTCCTGCAGGTGTCTCAACAGTGCCTCCTGTGACTCAGTTACTGGCAGGTGCACACTAATGACTTACACCTGGTGTTGTAGATCACTGTGTAATATTGTAATATCACAATGCAAAACAATTCATTTGCCTAAGTGATTTATGTAGATATTCATTTTGTTTATGTTTATTTATGTATAATATTTTTGTGTATTGTGGCACAATGGATTTAATTCTACCAATTTAGAAAGAAATTGCCAGGTACAGATGCAGAGATAGAGAGTGAATAATTAACTTGTCCATCTCTACTCTCCCAACATGTGGTGGTCAGGTGTCAGTGCGGAGCTGGTTTCACAGGGCGCTATTGCGAGCAGCCGTGCCCCCCAGGGAGTTACGGCGCCAACTGTGCCAACCTGTGCCAGTGCACCAATGGTGGCCTATGTGACCAAGTAACTGGGCAGTGCCAGTGTGGCCCTGGGTGGACTGGACCTGACTGTTCCTCTCGTAAGTATTAATTGTTGTCGCCTAGGGTGTGTGTGTGTGTGTATATATACAAAACAGTGTAAGAATGCAGGGAATAAGAGTCGTATTATTGGTAAATGTCACTGAAGGCAGAAGGCAGAACAAAGTTCGTCTGGCAAAGAGGAGTAATGTCAGGTGTTGCTGACTGCTTATCCTTACTGTTATTTACATGGTAGGAACCTGAGAATTGTAACTGGAGGTGTTTGTGTCTTCCTGTGACAGGGTGTCCTGAGGGCCAATACGGTGCCGGCTGTGCCCTCACCTGTACCTGTGCCAACGATGCCAAGTGTGATCCCGTCAGTGGCATCTGTATCTGCCTCTCAGGTGTGTGAGACCCCCAATCTCCAAAATGCCTACTTGTGGTCATGAATGAAAACATAATCTTGCCACCTGTTTCTATTTAATTCGTTATTATATTCCCATAAGATGTCTTGAAGTTAAGAATAAATTTCTTATTTAAGGTTGGCGAGGTGCAGACTGCTCGCTGCCGTGTCCTGAGGGGTACTGGGGAGTGGGGTGCCATCAACAGTGTAGCTGTGGTAGTGGCTTCACCTGCAACCCTGTCACAGGCACCTGTGAGTGTCCCCCCGGTAGACATGGCCATCACTGCCTCAAGAGTAAGTACCCAGGGAAACCTACACCACTGAAGAAGGATGACCTGCACTTCTGAGGGAGGAGACCCAAACCACTGATAGAGACCTACAATAATGAGGGAGGGAAACCTACACTACTGAGGGAGGGAAACCCACACCATTGATGGAGGGAAACCTGATATAATGAGGGAGGTACACCCACACCACTGAGGGAGGGAGACCCACACTACTGAGGGAGGGAGAGCCACACTACTGAGGAAGGGAGAGAGACCTGCACTACTAAGGGAGAGAGACCCACACTACTGAAGGAGAGATACCCACACTACTGAAGGAGGTAAACCCACACAACTGAGGGAGGGAGACCTGCAATACTGAGGGATGGAGAGCCACACTACTGAGGGAGGGAGAGAGACTCACACTACTGAGGGAGGGAGACTTTTAACTGGTGCAGGATATATAAGGCTGTCTTCCCTCTCATCTTCTGCTTCCCACAACTTAGGTCTAACTACCTGCACTCACACCCATTTAACATGTCTCGGGCCTTTCTTCCTGTACTACCACACACCAGTTTAACACATCTCGGGCCTACATCTGCTCTCTTTACTACATCTGTTTCTCATATATTAAGCTTACACTTGTTCTTGTATACTCCTGTATCTAACATCATAGGTTTTAATACCTGCTGTTTCTCTCACCGTTGTAGTACACTTGCCCTCTCACACACCTGTCTTCCCTGGCAGCGTGCCCACCAGACCGCTGGGGAGACAAATGTCAACACAAGTGCCTTTGCTACAATGGAGGAAAGTGTGAACGCGAGACTGGATTGTGCATGTGTCCTCCGGGGTATACGGGTGCCACCTGCCAGGACAGATGCCCAGAGGGGAGCTATGGGGACACATGTCGTCACACCTGCACCTGTCTACACAATGCAACCTGTCAGCACGACACCGGCGCCTGTATTTGTCCACCAGGCTACGAGGGAAACACCTGCCAGATGGGTCAGTTGTGTTACTTGATGAGTTATGAGAAATGATCAGTGAAATTTAAATAATTATAAGTGATACAGTATTGTTAATAATTATGAGTGATATGAGTAGTTCTTAGTGATATATTATGAAAGATATAAGTTGTAATATAACATTTTGTGAAATAACCTTCCACCCAGAGTGTGGTCCCGGTAAGCACGGCCCTGGGTGCCTCCTGGAGTGTCAATGCCAGAATGGTGCCACCTGTGACCCCATGACCGGTACCTGCACCTGCACTCCGGGCTGGCGAGGCCAACACTGCCATAAACCCTGTCACCAAGGTTAGTGTCAAGTTTACAATACATTAGTTAGTGTCAAATAATTTACTAAGCTTTCAACAAGTGCCAAATGATTTACACTGCTTAAAATAGGTACCAAAATCACAATGCTTACAGTAAGTGTTAGCTAATTTCATGAGTATTATAAAATTATTTTTTGTGACTTTAACTACAAAACAAATTGATAAGATGTTGTGGCACTTCAGGGTCGTGGGGTGAGGACTGTGGAGGTATATGTGACTGTGACCATGGTGCCACTTGTGACCATGTGACCGGACAGTGCCAATGCCCCCACGGCTACACGGGGGAGAGGTGCCAGTCAGGTGAGTATAAGGCTGCTCTCATGAATGTTGGTTAAGAAAAGACGAGAGAAATTTATGTATCAGTCAATTTCTATAATATATACCCAGTATGTAAATATAATTTCAAATCATATCTCCTGGAAACATCATCATCTCAAATGTAATAGTCGTCTTTTTTCCCTCCCGTGCATTGTCTCAACGTGTCCCCTCGGTGTCCTGGTCACCATTCGTGTCCTCCTATGTCCTGGCCGCTACACATGTCACTCATGTCCTGGTTGCTACACGTATCCGGCTACAGTGTGTCCCCAAGGGTTCTACGGAGAGGAGTGTAACGAGAGGTGCACTTGTGGTCCAGACGAACCTTGTGACCACGTGACGGGCGCCTGTACCTGTCCCCCTGGCCGCCGTGGTGACCAGTGTGAGCTGTGTAAGTACTGTATACTTGTACACACACACACACACAAACACTGTCATATCAACTAGTGTTTAAGAACATAAACAAATATATAAATCATTATGCAGTAAGGAAAAAAATAGAAAAACATAAATATATAAATAAAGGACGAAAATAGGTTTATATATATATATATATATATATATATATATATATATATATATATATATATATATATATATATATATATATATATATATATATATATATATATATATATATATATATATATATATATATATATATATATATATATATATATATATATATAATCAACGACCTCACCAGCAAGGAATCGACCCTCGACCACTGTGACAGTGTCCTTGTGGCCTAGCAGTAAGCGTTCCCTAGTCACACCCAGTAGGTCGAGATTCCCACTATAATATGTTCAAAGTCCGCGTGTTATATGGACTAAAAATGAAGTATATATATATATATATATATATATATATATATATATATATATATATATATATATATATATATATATATATATATATATATATATATATATATATATATATATATATATATATATTTATTTATTTATCTATTTTTATTACAGTACTGTATTATTATTATTATTATTATTATTATAGAGGTACACAAAACTTAATGCTCATTACCTCTTCTTCCCTCTCCTTCAACAGACTGTGAAGAGGGGTGGTGGGGAGAGGGGTGCCAACAGGAGTGCCAGTGCCCAGATGTAGCCCTTTGTGACCCCATCAATGGCACTTGCTACTGCCCAGCTGGACGAAGGGGTCGTCACTGTCTCAGGCCCTGTCCCAAGGGGCGGTATGGCCTTGGCTGCAAGCAGGTGACATGGAGAGAGAGAGAATATCATTTTCCACTTAGTCTATCTCATATGCCTTTCTCTCCCTCTATCTAACTATCTATTTATCTATCTATCTATACACCTGTATCTATCTATATCTCAAGACTATAGATTACAGTACAGTAGACCCTTGCCATTTGCGAGTTTGCAATTCACTATTTTGACAATTGGCAGTAAGCAGATGGTGGCTAGTTTGTGAGCCTTTTTCCTGCAGCACACCGAGTCATGTTGTGCTCTTAAAACTTTAGTGTTTCTGTGTGAAATGGCCCCTAAAAGACTGCCTAGTGTCAGTGCTAGTGATGCTAGTGGAGTGAAATTTAAAAGGCAGAAGTCAGTGATGACTCTGACAAAGAAAGTTTTATAATTAGATAAGTTAAAAGAGGGGATGAGTGCTGCCGCGGCTGGTCGCTTGTTGATATAGGTATACAGTAGTGCGCTAAGGTAGTATAAGTTGCTATTCGCGAATCACAGGGGTCTACTGTATAGTAAAAAAATATTAATTTCTCATTTATTGATAAATGCCTCATGACCTATCATGTCTCTTCACACTCTGCTATAACAACCTATCATTATAAATCATCACACTACTACTAATAATAATAAAGTGCACTGTATATAATAATTAGTTTATGAATTATCACACCTGTTGTTAAGTTTCTCATTATAATAATTTCTCTTGCTAATTATCCCACCCTAATAATTTTACATGCTAGATATTTCATCATACTAATTATAGGTAGTGTAATTATCATATTACACTCTTACGAATTATCCCAATACAATGACACTTTCCTCTAATTCCCCTCTCCCTTTGACCTTGGCATGATGTGGCACTTTGCAGAAGTGCCAATGTGGGAATGGTGCAACGTGTGACCCTGTAACCGGACAGTGCCAGTGTCCCCCGGGTTTCTACGGCCCAACCTGTCATCTGGCCTGCATTACTGACATCCACAGTACACAGTGTAATCAGGTGCGTGTTTTGAAGTGTAAGTGTGTGTCATTGTGTATTGAGTTGTAAGTGTGTGAGTTTGGGTGTAATAATTGTTTTGGAGAAATTGTAAAGGCTGTTAGGTGTGAGTGTTAGATGGTTAGAGGAAACGTAGTGTGTTACTTGAATTGTGAGTGTCTTAGGTGAGTGTTTCATACATATATAATACACATTATAGCCCCTATATTGTACACATACTTACCTGTTGAATCACATTCATTGGTCACTTTACCGTTGTAAACACCTTCTGAGCGTTTAAAGGTTAATCAGACTCTTCATGTTAAGCTCGAACGTTATAATTCGGTCAAACCTGTTGAATACAATTCATTTTAGTATTTCAAATAAATCATACATAGGTAATCATACATAAATGTTTAATCCAATATATATTCACATAACAATCATAGCTATGTAATTAGTCTAATCTTAACACTTACAATGAGTACTTAATTTGCCATATTTCTATGTTGTCACAATGATAACCGATGCAATGGACACAGTCTACCTGTGTAAACTTAAGTACAAGTTAAACTTACGTGTTGAAAGTCTCAAGAGAAACAGGTTAGGTGTTGACTCTCTGATGGGGATAGCTACAGTGCCAGTGCCCTGCCTGGCGTCACATGCCCAGCCCTGGCTGGCCTACTTTGCTGCGTCATGCATTTATACACAAACAAGCTTCCCTTACTACCACCCATCACACCAACCTCCTCTGGGTCTCTCCATCTCCACCATCTCAATACTCTATATACTGTATACAGGCAGGCACACCCAATAAACATGACATGACTCACAGCTTAACATAATGTTTGTTTATGTGTCATCCTACTCATTACTGCTTGCAGTAACAATCGTACTGTATTAATTACCTCATGGTTTGTACTTTATGTCGAACTACTGTACTGTAACTGATACCTGTAATAGTATTTGGTAAATGTTACAGGCATTGTTGTTATTGTAATATCTTGTCTATATCTTCATTTGTCATGTTCTCTTGTATTTGTATTCTGTAAATGCATGTACAGTAAAGATGTAATGAAGTTGGTTTTATCATAATTATTATTATTATTATTATTATTATTATTATTATTAGCATTATTATTGATAACAGATCATAAAAACAATGACATCATTCATTTGTTTACATTGCCATGGCAATGCTGCCAGACATGTGACTGTGAGCACGGTGGGGTGTGCAGTGGGTCTGGAGAGTGTCGGTGCCCCGCAGGGTACACAGGGCCCCGCTGTGAGGATACCTGCCCTGACAACACCTGGGGCCAGGACTGTGCCAATCAGTGCCTTTGCCACAACGAATCTATCTGCCACCCAGGTGAGTCTTCCTGCTGTAGGACAACCTAACCTTACTCAAGCTAACCTAGCTTAACCTAGCTTAACCTAACTTACCCTAACCAAACCTACTTTAACCTAAAATAGTTTACCCTAACCTAACATAACCCTATGTAATCTGACTTAAAATAAAGCAACCTAATTATAACACAACCTAACCTAACGCCACAAAACCTAACCAAATCTGACGTAACATAATACAACCTATAATGTTCAAGGCAGTACTCTTAATGCACAACCCTTCCCGGAGATTGATTGATTGATACGTTAATTGAGATACAAAAAACATTAATACATCTCAACGGGGATGAAGTGACATAAGTCATCCCCACCCCAGTCCAGGAATGTCCCTCTCAGGACTCACATAAATCCCTAATATTTCATATAATCAGTTATAGTACATAGTTATATTCTAGATGCAAAATTTCTATATTTATTTAATATTTCATCTATTTTCCTATTTTTAATCATCCACTCTATTTGCATGGGGACATTATTTATATGGGCATTTCTATATACATTAAGCAATGGGCATTCCAGTATCATCCCGGAGAGAGAGAGAGAGAGGAGCTAACACATGTTTTACTTCCTTACCTATTTTTCCCACAGCTACGGGGGAGTGCCAGTGTGGTGTGGGGTGGACAGGGATGCACTGTGACCAGGAGTGCCTACCTGGTTACTATGGGCCTGACTGTAGACTGCAGTGTGCCTGTCACGACAATCGGACCTGTGACCGCTTCTCCGGATGCTGTGTGTGTGGCCCTGGACGATACGGTCGTTACTGTGAGCTGGGTGAGTGCCATTTTTATTTTGTAAATAAAATTATTGGATTAGTGCCATATTTCTGTTTACATAAAAATTATTTTATTATTCATTTATTATTTTTTACATAAACAAAACAGAAGGAATAGTGCCATATTGCTGTTTACATATAGAAAGCAATAAGGAAATTGTGTTCAGCTGGAAATTGTTTGGGGCCAAGGGGATGGGGGAGGGGGATTTAATCCAGTGAAAAATGCCTCAATGGGGTTTTAGCTCTGTGAATTTCTCCATGTATCGTGTTACTTACAGAGTGCCCAGCTGGATTCTATGGGGTGTACTGCGTCAGCATGTGTGAGTGCCAACATGGTGCCACCTGTGACCCCATGACTGGACAGTGCCATTGTGCCCTGGGCTTTATGGGAGACACTTGTGCCCTTACCTGCCCCCCAGGTAACTACAATATCTGAAACAGTTTTTGGAAACTTCAAAGGAAACTTGTTATTTTTCTGAGCTACTTAAACACCTGTTCGAGTTACCTATTCATACGAAAAATAAAAATATTTTTCACACGAATTAAACACCTCTTATAGCTCACATAGACACCTTTTCTAGTTACCTTTACTTATTAAAACACTTGTCACCTACTACACTAATAAAACAGCTGTTCTATATTTCTGTACTGTACCTACAAAATGCTTAACAAAATCATACATCTGTCTAAGCTTACGTCAACCACAAAATGCTTAACATCAACTCTGACTAGATACCTATTCTAAATTTCTTTAACACCCAAATAAACACATGAACTAGCTTTATCTAACCCTAAAAAAACACCAGTCATGCTCTAACTTAACTACTCAAAATAACACTTGCAATTACAAGCCAAATTAGTCATAACCAGTTACGATTATTCTTAACTACCTTATCATCAATTACTAGTTTTGCATAAGAATAGTAAAGTTAGTTAATAACCACCTGTTAATGGCTGATTGCTGGTGGGTGATGGCTGATACTTGAACAAGTAAACCAACAGGATTAAAATTAGGCCTCTGTTGGAACAATGAAGGTGAGTGAATGACAGTTATTAACAAACAAACGAGAGAGAGAGAGAGTAAAACAAACAAAAATGCAATACATTAGATGATTAACAAAAACAAAGCCAAGAGGGAAAGAAAGGAAAACTTAATACAAATATAGTGAAACAAAGAGAGAGAGTCTCAACACCACAACTACATCTCCCACAGGAACTTTTGGTGCCGAATGTGAAGAGGAGTGCCAATGTGACCCTTACCCGTGCCGCAAGGATACCGGGGAGTGCCTCTGTCCCCCAGGCTTCAAGGGCCCATACTGCAGCAGGCGTGAGTACTGAAGTGGAGAATGTGAGAGGGGGTACCACAAGGACTGTCATTATGTGTTCCAGTTCTCCTCTAATTATTATTATTACCATTATTATTATTGTTACAGTATTATTATTATTATTATTATTATTATTATTATTATTATTATTATTATTGCTATTAATGCTGCATCATTACCTGCAATACGTCACTACACGTTGACCAAACCATCATTGTACCTTACAGCGTGTGGTGCAGGCAAGTACGGACCTGGATGCCAACAGGAATGTGAGTGCTACAATGGTGCCACCTGTGACCCCGCTACTGGCAGCTGTACCTGTCTCCCGAGCTGGATTGGTCCCAAATGCCAGGACAGAGATGGTTAGTTAATAAGAGCTGATAAGAGGAAGTACCGTTAGCCATGGAGGGCTACGGTCAGTGTTGCAGTACAGTATTTTGCTCAGTATTCTCATAACATAATTAGAATTGTTGCAAAAGTAGCAGAAATCACATACAGTAATGTTTTGTAACAGAGGGATGTTAGAGCAGTGTCAGGGAAGTGTCCATGAACTGTCAGAATAGACAAGGAAGTGTCTGTGAAGTGTCAGGGAAGTGTCCATGAAGTGTCATTTCAATGTCAGGGAAGTGCATGCGAAGTGTTCATGAAATGTCCATGAAGTGTCAGAGTTAAATTTGCAGAGGACTCAGAGAAGCATCAGTGGGGATGTCAAAGCAGTGCCTGCAGTCTCAGGGTGTATCAGGCAGGGTGTCAGGGGTGCCAGGGAAGTGACAGAAGAGGAGTCAGAGCGGTATCAAGAGGGTGTCAGGGCATTAACAATAAGGGTGGCAGAGCAGTTTGCAATAAGGATGCCATAGAATATTAGCTTCACCTTGGACACAGTATAGAGCTTCACCTGGGATACAATACAGCTTCACTTAAATTAAAACATCTCCTGGAATACAGTATAGAGCATCACCTGGAATACAGTATTCTAAACTGTATTAAAGTTCTATACTTAGTATAAAGCTTCAATGAGTTAAATTGTCCTGTTCTCTTATTTCAGCACCTCCTTACACCACCCACCCTGACCATCGCGATCGAGCTGACATCCCAGTGGAGGACAGCTGAGATCCTTTCCCTAGAGAGACAACAGTTCATTCCTTGAGACAGCTGTAATTCCTCGAGACAGATATTCATCCTCTGAAAGACAGCTGTTCATCCCTTGAGAGACAGCTGTAAATCCCATTGAGATGGCTGTGCATCTTTTGAGAGGCAAATGTTCATCCCTTGAGAGACAGCTATCTATTAAAAGAACAATGTGCACCTCAGGAACAAGTGAGGCCAAGCGAACATATTGAGCGACTGATTTCTTCCTCGACCAGAGACGAAGGTCCCCTGCTGGAGGAAAGCGGGTGACAAATGGTTGTCTGACATAAGATACCATAACCAAGTCTTTGAAAGATCAGCAAAGAACAACCAGAAACAGAGAGGAAGAGCGCCAGGCACTGTTGATTGCCACGTACTGGTTTTAGTTTTTATGATGCGAATACCAGTGATTTATCCGTTAATTATTTCTTACATGAAACTGCTTATTAGTTGCCTACAAGAGGTGATTGGATTATTTCAGTGTAAATACTATGTGAAAATGCAAGTGATCACGAGCAGTGACATTTTAAAGTGAATATCTTGTTAAGATGCATTTCAGTGGACAGCATAGACTGTATTATTTTTAAGTGAACTCTGATGATGAAATTATTTATTATTAAACTTACTTGAAGCTTTGTATGTCTTCTAGTTAATTTGCAGTCCTTTGGTCATAATTAAGTAAAGAAAAATCAAGACTATTACTGTACAACTATTGTAGGTCCTAGGAATATGTTATTCATGGTGGCATGGCATGAAAGCAAAACTCGGTTGCACAGACTGGCAGCTGATCGGAGGCTGCCATCATGCACTACTTCTCATAATAATGGTAAAATTAATAGTGATAGTAATAGTATCAATGATAATAATAAAAATAATAGCTTCATGAATTACGACCTTATATAAAACGCAAATGAAGAAGTACATGTTAGTGGAACAAAGAAAAAATGGTAATTAGACATGACCAAAGTTATATTAAGAAAACAGTGATATCTCCATTAGCCAGAACAGTTGGTGCAGAGCGCTTCTGGGAATGAGAAATTTCAGGGTAACGTTTCTCAAAGCTGGAAAAAAAAATCTCGTCACCCGGAATTTTCCAGCTACTGGAAAATTTTTCTCAGAATTTCCAGAAAATGCGCCCGATTTTCATCTCTCAAACCCGGAAAAAACTCCCCCATCCCCGGAATTTTCCGGGTATCATGAAAATGTTCATGGAATTTTCCGTAAAATCGTCCAAACAGCCAGAATTTTCCAGAAAATTACGACTTTGGGAACGATTTTCCGAGAAAATTTCAATTCCGGCTATCGGTGAGTTCTGGGTTTGAGGGATTTCGGCTAACGGAGATACTACTGTATACAGTACAGCACTACACCTGTACAGTACTTATATTATCTCACAAGAAAACTTTAATAAATACAGCAGGTAAACACTAACAAAACAAAGTCAGATAATAGGGAAGGAAGCGACACATAAGACAATTAAAACAGCCTAAAAATGAAGAAAACAATTAAAATCAGATATACAATAATCCAGAATACAAAAGGGAAGTTACTACAAAAATAGGATCTCATGCCTTGGCACGTAGAAGCACCTGAAATACAAGAAAAGATAAAGGAATAGTATTTGTGTGTGTGTGTGTGTGTGATAACTGGATGCTCATAGAGACCTCACTGCCTGCCTGCTGATGGCATTAACTTTAAGTAATATCTGAGTCAAGAGAGAGTTCCCTGCATCTGCTAAGCTGCTCTCTCAATGTGTGTGTATGTGTGTACTGTGGTTCTAGGCCAAGATTTTCATTGATTCGTACAAGGTAAAAAATAATTCATTATTATTTAGACTTTGCATTCGTACAAGTACGTCAGTGTCCCCCTTAAATGTAGAATAAGAGAACGCATAATATACCATCTTAAGTGAAAAAGATTACTCCTGTAGTTACCTTTGTAGATCACCAGTTAAATGGACAAATTTCACACAAAGGTCTTCCAGAATATATCTTTGCGTCGTAGTATAAAGTGAAGTAACTAAAAGCCGTTTCACACCATTAGTTAAGGGAAAATTTTAATGTACGAACCTTTGATAGCTGACAAACGTAAGGGACTGCCTTAGAATACCGCCAGTACTAAGCATGAAATGCCTCCCACTTTAAAATTATCGGTTTTAAGGGCAATTATGGTGAAAACTAACTATAAGATACAGTGGTCTGAGAATTTAACCGAGGGGTCAAGATTCTAAAGTCTTCTTACGATGGCTGTAACTCCTTGCCTGAGGATGTAAGAATGTACCGAATTGATTGAATTGTGCAAAAACACAAATATAACATTGAAAATTAAAAAAAATTGCACTAGGCTCTACCTTAACTAGAAAGGTTTACTTAGCACCAGTTAAGAGACAAAATTAAGGTAGACAACCTTTTGGAATCGATATTCTATTTTAATTTAGTCTGGTTCTAAAACCTGATTGAATGGCAGCAAATTGGTGTAATTTTTATGGTATTTTTGGACATTATTTTCTTGGTTTTTACTTAAACCGATTGACTTGGTCTATTTTGGTATCAAAAGTTACTGTACTGGGAATATTCATTGCACGAATCTTTGAGAATCTGGACTGCTGTGTGTTGGCTGAGTTAAGGAAGGGTCACGACCACAACAGCCTGTACTTTCAAACAAGTGAAAGTTATAACACGGCCGTCCGACGATAAACAGGTTTGCCTTGTAAGATGTGCCAATATGTACTTAGTGAGTGTAAAATCTGTGGTGTGGATAATTATTTTCAGACTTCTGTATTAACCCTGATTGTGTTACCAAACATAATACTAGGAATACCCTTTTATATTGCACTGTAATTGAATCACATGTAGTTTGTCTCAAATTTCTCGAAAGGTTTGGAAATGGGGATAAAGCTTAGATATGGGGATCATATCAACAAACAAAAGCTAAATTGATGAGTGAAACTTTCATTCTTTATCTGATGACAAAGAGTTAGCTTATAATAAGTTAAGTTAAACATTAAAATTTTATATATATATATATATATATATATATATATATATATATATATATATATATATATATATATATATATATATATATATATATATATATATATATATATATATATATATATATATATATATATATATATATATACATATATATATATATATATATATATATATATATATATATATATATATATATGGTATATATATATATATATATATATATATATATATATATATATATATATATATATATATATATATATATATATATATATATATATATATATATATATATATATATATATATATATATATATATATATATATATATATATATATATATATATATATATATATATATATATATATATATATATATATATATATATATATATATTAGGTGAAGCTATGTATTTCTTGTTAGCAATATGCAAATCAAATCATAGTATTGAATTAATTTAAGCTTTACATAAATGTACATTATTATTTATCTGTGCCCCAGTAAGTGTAAAAAATTCATTAAACAATGTGTTTATATGAAGACTTTTGATGGCGTAGGTTATTGTGTCATCCCATAATCTTATAAAGTATGTTGACTTAAGAACCATGTTCAAGTGAACTAAGGAGTGGATCTACAAAGGCTCACACAATAAATATCTGTCATAAGTGAAGATGTAAGAATAGTACAGTACACCTAAACATTGACTTCAGATAAAAAATAAAAAGGACTTACAAAAAAAAAAAAAAAAGGTTACACTGAGACTAACTAAATAGATTCATTTTATACAGTACAGTACTAAATTAAGGTGCAGGACTGCTAGAAAGATTCTCCTCCTTAATTTTGTCCTCTAAAGCGACGGTCACACTAGAGTTTTCCGTGCAGTAAATCCATGATATTATTTCATCCAAAGGCAATAAGTCAATGGTATGATCCCCACACTGGCCAGACTGGCCAAAGGAACCATTGGCGAAGCACCCAGCTCACACGGCTAGTTTGAGCTCACTGTATGTTTCTATGGCAGCATTAACCGCTTTGGTGAGATGTGTGGTCCTGTTAAAGAAGACCAAAATGAAAAAGAAACGATTGTAGCATCCATGTGATGTTTGTTTACAAAAATGACACAAGTACAGAACTCTTAAAGTCCAATGAAATTCTCATTGTAATGTATATTATTATTATTATTTTTTATTTACTTTGACATTTTTGCTTGTGTTTTGTTATTGAAATACATTTTTTATATTTTTTGTAAATTTTAACACTAATAAGAAAAAATAAGAACGGTGTAAATTTTATAAATACAACAGACTCTCTACAGCAAATTTCAACCCACCATACCGTGGATTTTCAGACGCTCCATATTGTCCCACTTTCGACAACAAATACATTGTCGTTGTAGAGCAATATGAGGAGTTCATTGAAAAATCAACACTACGGTGGATTTATTGGATTTAATCTGAATAGAAAATCAAATGTGTCCGCAGCTTAAATTGTATGACAAACTCTTGATTTATCTGGGGGGAGGGGTTCTGTCCCTCTCTTTCTCTGCTAAAACAAAATCAACCACAAAGAACCAACAGATTGATATTATGTAGATTCGGCAGCAGTTCAATAACACAGATTCTGAAGAACTAAAAAGGTAATATAGTACAAGGAAACAACACAGAAGAATTTGGTGATAATATCAACATAGAATTAAGAAAAAGCAGGACTTTAAAAGGAGATACAACTAACAACAGGAGAAATGATAAACATTCTGGGAAAAATGACAAGGGTGAGTAGACGGTGCTAATCTGCCCTTGAAGACAATAATATCCCTCACGTGAAAACAGCATCCGTCACTCGGGTAAGAAAGAAAAAACTGGGCTGACTAAACGTGACTAAGAAGACGAAGTAGAGGAAATAAGAAGAGAGTGAACCAGAGATGAATCTTTATAATTTTTAATTGTTGATAACTAAAGTAATTATTAATCTGATATTGCACTTAAAAGATCTTAGCTGTTGAAGCGTCATAATTCAATAACATCAACAACCTCAAGAGAGTATTTGTAAACTACTGATAGGCAACCTAGGCTAGTGATGGAGCAACATGAGTGGCCCTCCATTATCTCAGTGGGCCACAAGATTGAAATTTGGCATGTACACTAACCATGACCTCATGGATGAATAACCATAATTACATTTCACATAGGCAGAATGTTAAAGAATGAGTTACAGAAAAAGTAAATAAAAAGAGAGATGCAATGGCACTTCCAATACACTGCCTCCCATATTATACGACACCTGGAGACGAAATTGGGAGGTGGAGGGTGGTGTACAATATCTATTTATGATTTCTTTATAATATATCATAGGTAAACACAACCTCCCACAACCATAGGCAGTAGAACAATGAGTTGATCATGAAGTGTTGCCATATCAAAAAATAAATAAGCCTACTTTGTGTAAATATGTGTACAGGTATTAAGAAATTAAGTTAAATCAGTTAAACTTCGTCTGTGAATTGTCAAAATATTAACAAAAAAGGATATTAGTATAAATTCCACCAAATTACAAAAATACTTTCTACTGTAACTGCCAAAATTTCAATGAATGGTCAAATCAGCACTGCTGCTTGCACGATTCTCTCATGTGGATGCACTCAATAGCCTGATGGGACGCAGGTTGCCCACCACTGTTGTAGAGCGTTTAAGACGACTACATGACAGAGTGAGTGTGTTCCAACTCACGAGGATTAGGAACTCCTACATGTGTCACTTGGCAATTAAACACCCTAATGTAATATAACCTTCCCCGTACCCCTCTAATTAGTGTTTAATCATTAAATGATATAATAGGGGATTACAATTATTATTATTGGAGTAAGAACGCCTTGTATGTAAACTACAAGCACTACAGACCATAAACATAACTCATTCAGTACAATGTTAAATTTAGGGTGGTTAAGATTCATGTGATCCCTATTCACTTTAAGCAGAAATACCAAAACTTGTACAGTAATATTTATGAATACATTAAAATAATATTCTCCGCCCTCTGGAAGTTCAATAATGTACTTTTATAACCTACTCTTCTTTCAGTATCTCATATAAATTGTTGCAAGAAAACACCAGAATATATCTTCATCCTCTTTTTACATTTCCATTTATTTGACATCCTTGAAATATTAGAAATTTTACTGGAACTGTCTCTATATATTCACTCTCTTACGTAAATCTGGTGTGCACACACACACACACCCATTGTTTTTATTTTTATTTTCAGTATTCAACCCCGTCGGGTATGTACTCTACAGCGTAGATTTCACAACAGCCTATCACTTTCATAAATTTCTTGCCCTCTCCTGTTTTTGTCACCTACATCAACCTTTTAATATATCTTTGTAAATCTTTCAATTGCATTAAAAATTAATTTTCTCCTTTTAATCTTAATCCACTCATTACTTCGTAATTCTCTTGCTGTTTTGTGTCTTCATTGTGTAACTATAATTTCCATAACTTCTGGACTACAGTATATACCCATACTATATACAGTATAGTATAGTACAGTACTGGCTAAGCAAGTCCTTGAAGATTACTCTTTTCACATATAATTATATCTTAAAATAAATGATGATGTTGGAATTATAGGAAAACTGCTCATAGATATTCATAGGCACAGTTCAAGAGCTGTTTGCATGACTACAGTACTGTATACCTTGTATACAAGTGGTTTGCAGTACCAGCACATACTATATAATGTACTATTTATCAAACTAAGAGGAGTCATTATCAGGACTGTCTGCCAAGAGGTTGGCTACAGATCCAGAACCAGTGGAGGTCCAAGAAGTGTAAACTATATCATTATGGCTAATATCCCAAGATATTAAATAAAGCCTGTATTTGTTACCTTGAGAAAGCCTCACATACATCATAATGATCAAATTATTGACTATGAAGAATAAGAAAATCCAAGTTTTTTTTCATTTATTTTCATTAAAATAATCATCGCTTCTTATTGCCTTTTCGTATCACAGTCCAGCCATCCCCTTCATCTTGATGTTGTTGCTTTTCCAGTTCTGTAATTTCTCTTGGAGGTTGACTGCTTAAGCTGTTAGCCGTAGGATTATCGGTGTCATTTAGCTGTAGTTCACTCATGTGAGCAGCAACTAACTGGGGTGTATCATCCTGTAGAGTATGACAAAATAAAAATATAGTATAATTCTTCTCTATCCTATTTTCCTGCCAATTTTGACTATTAATTGAATTGAATGAAATGGCATCATCACAAAACTTGTATTCACTGGAATTTCATAATATCCATGCCCAGCAAATATGGCATGGTATAAGTTTAAAGGAGTAAAAAACTTTAGTAAAACCTCCTGAAATTGCGGCTTTTAATTTGGAGAAAAACGTCCTTATGACATACATTGAACCAGAGTAATAGATGCATATATGAAATAGTACAACTTACTTCGCTTTCACCATCAGGTTCTTCACGTATACTACACAAAGACAGGTCACATTTTGGCATTTTGGACAATTCCTCCATCACCTGAGCATCCTTCCCTGCCACACATAACTGGTAAAGATGACATAAACACTTTCCTACCTGTAAATACATTGTAAAATTAGAAAGCATAGAATATCACACTAATATGGTTCTTTAACCCTTAAATGGATAAAAAAATTTGCAGTGGCTTTATTTTGCAGTGGTGTTTATATATAGATGGTGTTATAACATTTTGGACGGCTCAATATGCAGTGGATCTTTATTTATGTTGATTTTATTGGTCGTCGACGTCTATAGTACACCCACCTCTCGTTTTACGAGGGGGGTATGTTCTTGAAAATCACCGCTTAATTCAAAAACGCGTAAATTGAACATAATTTTCCCATAAGAACACATGTAAATGGTACAGGTTAGGGGAACCATCATATACCACACAGGGTACGAACAGTGCTCTCACTTAAACCAAGCACACGGCCAACCTCCGACACACGCTCTCCTCTCTGAAGGCGGGTGATCACATTTAATTTCACGTCCATTGCGATTGTTTTTCGTGCCTTTTTAGCTTTAGGCTCCCCAGAGGAGGCAGATGGACGTTTTCCAGACATGTTCAATGGGGAAAACAGCGTTTAACACTGAAAAGGTATGAGATAAACACACAATGCAAATGAGAGCACTGAGAAAAAGTAGTGCTGGTGTGAACTGAGTAAGCGATGTGCGGGAAGCTTGCCAGACGTCGTCACAGTTGTTGTACAGAATACTTCATTATCATCATTATCTTCACCATTAACAGTAATAATCTTTATTATTACATTATTATAATAATTATTATTATTATTAATATTAAAATCGTTGATGTTAATATGACTGCAACTTTATAGTAATAACTTACAAGCACCTCACCAGGCATCACACGTGACTCCACTGCCAGGCGAATACGTGTGGCAAATTTAAACTGTCTTGAGCGAGTTATTTAAAAAAAGTGCGTGTAAATTTACTTTTGGTAATAATTGAACAATCGAGTTATTCCAAAAACGCTTAAATCAAACGCGCATAAAATGCGAGTTACCTGTATATTATACAGTATAGTTGGTGTCTATACTATATACAATATAGACAATTTTTTTACTGGGTGCTCTCTCAGTCACCCCTGCTGCCATCTAAGGGTTAATAAGATAACCATACACAAATTTACTCAGTACTTTGAATATTTTAGTCACTGAAGAAAGCTCATAGCGTCACTCATTACTTATATGTAACAACCAGGATCTTCCGCAAAAGAACATTCCTATCAAAGTCAATGTATAACAGGAATTAGTGTGCTTACAAAATATTTATCAATCAATAGACCCAAAGCCCTTCGAGACAAACTGCCAGAAAGATAAGAATCAGAGGAATACAGTACGAGATACATTTTTTACTAAGATGCTACTTCATGCCACTTCTCAGTTACACATTAAGACATCTTTGTTATACCACTCTGTCTTTCCATGTAGTTATACCATAAGCAAATTATGACTTCAAGCTTTGCATTCACAAACTTCGCACCCTTTTTGGTAATCAATGACCTCCACATGCACACACAAAAAACTATATTGTATGACGGTATAGTTTGTAACATACAGTATTTTTTGTTTTTCTATTTGGTAAGCCCCATGCCTACCAAACAGCACAGCCACCTATATACCGGTATTGTATGTATTTTGGGGCACAAGATACTTCAGAAATTGGGCTAAAATAGCATTATTGGGTCACCATTCTATTGTATCCGATTCATGTACAGTATAAAAAATAAATCTTTACATATACACCTTTAGTATTACAGCAGTTCCCAACTTGAATGTACTGTACTAGATTACCAAAACATTCACCTATAAATGGAGTACAGTATTAAACCTCATACTATATACTGTTTCTACTGAACATTTCACAGACTTAGAGAACCCAGTTTATTAAAAAAAAATTAAATATACTGTACTTGTATTGAGTTTTCAAATTTCCATAATTTAAAAAATGACATATGGTAGCTTCCTTGAGCTGACATATGAATTAACATCACAAAAGGCATCATATAAAACTCACCTCCACATCAGAATCATCTTCAACAAGAGTATTAAGTTCTTGATCCATTATTGTTGCCAGATAATCTCCAACTTCCTCAGGTTCAAGATCGTCTGCCAACACAAAATAAAGTAATGAGCGAACAGAATCCCTCAAACACGGAACTCTCTGATAGCCGGAATTTAAATTTTCTAGGAAAATCGTTCCCAAAGCTGGAATTTTCTGGAAAATTCAGGTTTTGAGAACGATTTTCTGAGGAGCACATTTTCTAGAAAGTTCTGAGAAAATTTTTCTGAAACCCGGAAAATTCCAGGGATGGGGAAGTTTTTCCGACTTTGAGAGAGTCGTCTCGTTAACTGGAAATCTCTTTCTCGGAAGTGCTCTGCACCAATTGTTCCGGTTAACAGAGATATCACTAGTTGTATTGTACAAGTACAGTGGACCCTCAATTAACGAATGGTCCAATTAACAAAATTTTGGTTAACGAATTAGCTCCAATAAGGATTTTCAATTCCATTGATGAACAAAACTTTGATTAACGAAAGCCTCATGAGAAACACGCTTTGTTGTGCGCATCAGCTGATCGGCTAGTCCGCCAATGCAGTAATTGGTTCTATGTTTACATTCGTTTCCAGTGGAGTAATTATCAAGAAAGTTATGCTCTTGAATATTTTTGCATTTTTTATATTAAAATTATTGGTCAATCTAATTTAGATAACATATTGATAATATATACAGTACGGTACAGGGAACAGTTTTTGTGTGCCAATCAGTTGATCGAATCACCCACCAACACTTCTCAGCTTAACTTTGTTTGCAGTGGAGTGAACATCCAGTTTGTTGGTCTCTTGAATATTTTTTGCATTTTTACATTATAATTATTGGTCATTCTGAAATTTAGTTCACATATTGATAATATACAGTGTAGAAATTATTTTGAAACATGAAGAAGGCATTAGAACCAATGCACTCTGTAAAGAATATGGCATGTCATCATCGACTGCCTCTACAATCAGCCGTTTGATATGTAAACAAAGCTGCCGGGAATACGACATACACATCCTCAAAGTAAGTTAACATATAGTATTCTATTGTTTTTTATTTATTATTATACAGTATACTGTACAGTACAGTACTGTATTTAGTTTATATTAATGTTTTGTTAATTCTATTACCAGCATACAGTACTTCGTATGTACTTTTTCTGTGAGTTGGAACCAATTACTGTACCCAATATCCCATTGAAATAATAGATTCAGTTAACAAAATTTTTGGGTTAAAGAACGACTCTGTGGAACCAATTGTGTTCGTTAATCGAGGGACCACTGTATTACTACAATGGTATCCATCCTACTGGTGATAACAGTGACATCACTTCCTAGGCAGATTGTACATACTGTAAATATACAGTACAGTATATATAAAACTATATTGTAGAAAAGCTCCAATCACTAGTACAGTACAGTAATATGGTACAATATTAACAATAAACAGTCCTGCCCTGCAGTACATAAGCTTTACCATTTTCATAAAAATATTGTTCAACAATGCCAACCATCCATTCTGCTATGGCTGCACTCTCCTTCCCTCCTGCTTGCTGCTGAACTGCAAACTGAAAGAGAAAAACATACTAAGGGAAAAATATTTTATTTAAATGTATATTATGTTGTACAGTAGGGTCGGGATGTATAGCGAGATAGGGTCCAAGGATGTTAGCCATATACTAAATTGAGATATATAATTACATGTAATCAATGGAGAAAATAGGGTTAGGTTCTGGAGGCCAATAAAAGCGACAAAACTTGACCTAATGAGCTTATTTTCTTACTAATTAAAGTACCAATGAACACTAGACTCTGGAACACCACCCAAGGCCCCGTTGTGGGTCGATGACCTGTGCCCAGGTGGGCTATTCCCCATAAAAATAAAAATAAAGGAACACCAGAATTGGCAGCTCATCGCTATCTCGGGAGTACCAGACTCGGTAGCACACGCCACACTGCCATCCTCACTTGACAATCCCACACCTACATAAATGAACAAACCAAAAATATTAGTTAAAGTATTAAATCTTTTTTATTAAGCTTTCCATTCTCTTCATGTAACTTTTCACGTCACTAGCAACCCGGTTGCACTCACCTTAGAAGTCGGAACCGGCAGTAGTTGGCTGCTGACTCGTCACTCACGTAGCTCGACTCACAGCCGGCCTCCTTCTGCTTTCATTAAATATGTATTTTTTGGCATCATTTTCCAGTTTATTCCTGTCTCACCACAATTCCTGATTTGGTCTGGAGTATAGCCACCTTCTTCAACAACTTTTTTTCCAATCTATCTTCACTTTTTCCGCTGCAGCTGTGTCGGCCGGTGCAGCATCCCGACAGAGACACTCCGCATCATTCAGCTCTCTTGATGAAGCTGTGAAACCAGCCTTGGCTAGCTGTGAACTTACATTCACTTGCTGGCTGTCCTTCTCACTAAAGCAGACGTGTCTGTATTTCCATTGCCTCATTTTTTATCATCGGACCCGATATAGCAACTTTATGGCATTACATGTTTTCAAGACCTGAATCAGAAAGACTGTACAGGCAAGTCTGAATGCATGAGTGAGCAGCCACGGTGGCACCTCTGGTGAGCAAATAACGCATTTGTTTGCCATGGCGGTACATTTGAAATATTTCCTGCTCAATTTCCCTCACGAAATAAATAGATTTATCGCTATACTGTATATTGGAAAATGTTGATAATGTTGGTAGTGGCAATATAAAAAAAATCTTTATATAAAATCACTATACTAGAACCAGACAATGTGATGTAGTCGTGGCCAGAATTAGGCTAGGATACAGACACATCTGGCAAGTTAGTAACGCTGTACCCATACCGGAACACTCAGCATGTAAACTTTGTGATAAACCTTTAAAGCATACACTTGAACACTATATTATTGAATGTGACACTGTCAAAGACTTCAGGCCACCTGACTTATTGTATCTTGAACTATGTAATTACTTCATTGAATCAGGTGTGCTTGAGGACATTCTTGCTGTTTATCCCAAATTTGCTAGCCCACACTGATTAGTCTTCAATTAGAATATGACTCCAATGTATGTGATCCACTGACCTATATATACTGCTAATGAATATGATGTATTTTCTTCTTTGTGTACGAACCTCTGTCCTGCATGGCAGTGAACAGTGGCATTACCCACATGAATCTGACCTATATATAGTGTCAATGAATATGATGCATTCTTTGTGTACGAACCTCTGTCCTGTATGGCAGTGAAGAGTGACATTACCCACATGAATCTGACCGACGTTTATGTATGTATGTGTGTATATGTTTATGTATGTGTGTATGTGTGCATATGTGTATATATATATATATATATGTACATGTATATGTGTATGTATATGTGTATATGTATGTATATGTATATGTGTATATGTATGTATATGTGTATGTGTGTGTACATATATGTATATGTACTGTCAATGAATATGATGCATCTCTTTGTGTACGAACCTCTGTCCTGCATGGCAGTGAACAGTGACATTACCCATATGAATCTGACCTCTATACATTTATAGCTGTTAATGAATATGATGTATTTCTTTATGTATGATCCTCTGTCCTGCGTGGCAGTGAGAAGTGATACCACCCTCAGTGTCAAGACCTGACTGAATTACTCAGAATAGGCAAACTGTACTACAAGCTCTGCCAATAAATTTGTTAAACTTAAAACTTAAACTTCATTTATCAAGTTCTTCTAATATAAACTCATAAAATTCGTCCTTCACACCGACTGAACCCTCGGTATTCACTCATCCACACTTCGTATTTCAGTGAACCAAAAGAGACATAAATCAAATATCAAACTCATTCCTGAACCTCTAGTCAGCTACTTGTTTGAAGTGTGCAAGGTGGGCCGAGTTAGTACTGTGTGGACCCAGTTGGTTATTTAAGGTGGGCCGAGTTGGAGGTACACCATTTAATACCTACTGTTACCTTAAAACCCAACTACTGTACATATGAACACATACCTGTAGAGGGTTCCAATTGCCTAGGACTATTGCCACAGCCTTTTTAAACGAAGTATACATGGAAGTATAAATTATTGTCGTGGTCAGAATACTTTAAATCCTCATACTCGGGTCCAGTGTAACCTGGTATTCATCCATGTGACAGCGGCTGTGAGGTTCCAATCCAAAGTTCCAATCCAAACAATCAACACCCGGGTCGTCAGCGTATAACAACACAATCCTCCAGAGGTTCGTAGGAAAGAATGGTACAGGAAAAATGTCAATAGGAAAATATGGCACCGGAAAAAAAGGCATAATTATCAGACTAGGAAAAAATGGCACATTCATTTTTATTTTCATGTTTTTGCTAAAATTTTATAATCTAACCTAACCCAACCTAATTCATTAGCTCGTTTGTAGTTCGTGAGCTCGAAGTGAAATTTGTTGTGCCATTTTTTTTTCATAGTATAAAAATTTTGACATTTCTCCCGTGCCATTTTTTTCAGTGCCATTTTTTTCAAATGGCATTTTTTCCTGTGACATATTTTCCGTTGCCGTTTTCCTCCACGCCATATTTTCCGAGTACCCTTTGGTTTATATCTTGACAGTTATGTTCCCTGGTCTTAAAGGAAAACTTATTTATTCATCTCCGGTATAACTGTAAAGAGGCATCGGATATTACTTTTTAAATGGAAAAAAAGAGATTATGAATGGCGAAAGTTACGAGTCGATAATAATGAAGGGAAAATAATAACACTCTTCAAAAATTATAAAAACCATCCACAAACATGCAGGAAAGAACTAGTGAAAATTGCTGAACACTAAACCCACATTTGTATATATCCACCAAGGTTGTACAGTAGCTCAAGCTGACTCTCAGTAATAATTGCCACCAAGCACTCATTGTCGACCAAGATAAAGAAGATTATTAACATTTTAAAGCTATGAAATAATTATAGATTGACTTGTATGAATACGTAACTGGACAGGTGTCAAGATGAATGAACGTGAAGAGAAGCCTTCCTCCTCCACCAAGAAGACTGGCTTGGTGTCCTTCCTCACTGGTAAACCCATTGAGATTCCTGAAGAACATCTGGTGTGTTTTATACTTCATGATAGGTAATCGTTCTAGTTATTAGATTGATATTGGTCTAATTTTACCGCCCATTTAATAGTGTCCTGAATAAACAAAATTTCTTAACCAAATTTTTTATCATCATTTCACCTTCCCCTAAGGTGAAATGATGGGCTGTATAAGGCCAAATGGATAAAGGTGGAGCAGACGGTTAGCACCAGAAATAACATGGAATGAATAAAAATTTCTGGGGTTACTATTTGCATGATACTAAACAAGAAAATGGCACAGAACCTGACTTCACCAAAGAGACCTACCTAACTTTTCTAATTATTTACGACTTTACAGCCACTGATTTTTTTATAGAAAACGAATTTAAAAACGTCCCAATTTCACTGTGTTTTATAATGGACACTCGTAGTTATGGCAAATGTGTTAAATAATGTTTGGTAATTGTTAGTCTTTCCCCCATACCCCCATTTCGATATGAGATATTGTTTTACTGATGTATTTTGGTGTGTTTCGGCCAGGTGTGACCTTCATTTATTGCGAAAATGATTTTTTTTTTTCGATTTTTCTAGAAAATTTAAAAACACCTAAAATGGCTATTTCCCAAGAAAAAAACGTCACATTTTACTGAATCATGCCAAAATATACCAGAAAAACAATTTCTCATCTCAAAGGAAAGAAACCTAACCAAACCTAGCCTAATCTAAACAAACCTAACCGAACCCAAATAAATCTAACCGAACCCAAATTAACCTAATCTAACCCAAATTAACCTAACTGAACCCAAATTAACCTAACCAAACCCAAATTAACCTTACCTAACCCAAATTAACCTTACCTAACCAAAACTAACCTAATCCCCCGGTTAGTACTAACAATAAAAATAAAATTTTCATATCGATTTTATTAATTAATATCAAAAGAACAACTAAGGAAAATATGAATAATTTATATAAATGCATTTGGGTGCTGTCTGCTCCACTTTTATCAACAAATGTGGTAAATATTCCCTAGTGACCATTCATGAAAATTACTTTTAAAAATATAGCTTTCACTGTTTTGCACGAATATGACCATCTGTTTGTGTGCGAGGTATTCTATCTGCACCAGCAACCAACATATGGCATGGCATGGCATTTTATAAATCATATCCTACTTCAGAAGGTATTACAGGTGTTACGGATAAGTGATAATTTTACATATAATGTCTTATAAATATTTTTTTAATGCCTTTCACTGTAGAAATAGGATTCTCTGTAATTGAGAGAAGTTTAAAGTTAGAGTTACAAGAACTGACTGAATTCTAACTTAGGCATATTACTTCTCATCTAAGTCTGCCATAAGATTTTAATTTCATTGCTTGTTTTCAGTTTGGAAAATGCAGGTTTGTAGGAGAATTTGAAAAGCTCAATCGAGTTGGAGAAGGCACCTATGGCGTTGTGTGTAAGTATGATGAAGCAGTGATTATTATGTTAGAATTAGTAAAAGGGAAGAGAGAGGATCTTCTGTTTGAAAGTAACGGTGTTTTGTGCCTATGTGGGAGAAAAATTTTCCTTAAGGGTTGCCTAACTTTGAATTATGGGTGTATGACAATACCAGTATGATTCACAGGTCCTGAATTGTTCAAGGCTTGAGTGGTTAGCTTTGGTTAAGGCTGAATCAAGCTAACCACTCAAGCCAAAATGCTTGTTAATTTATCCCCTTGTATCAGTTACATCTCATTAGTACAGTCTAGAATTCACAGTACAGTACTATATATCATAGTTTATATCATCAGAGTATTGTCCATGTTTATGTTATTAGTACAGTAATGATGACCACTGGCAGATCGTGCTCGAGACACTAAAACCAATGAAGTCGTGGCCCTCAAAAAGATGCGCATGGAGAAGGAGAAGGATGGGATGCCAATATCTGGGCTACGGGAAATTATGTTGCTGCAGTCGTGTAATCACCCGAATATTGTCTGTCTAAAGGAGGTTGTTGTTGGGCGTAGTTTGGAGAGGTGAATTGAAGCAGTTATTTCTTTTTCATATACTGTACAGTTTATCAGTTACTATACAGGTAATCCCAGTGAATATAACTTATGACTATTTACATCAGTTATTTAATCTGTAAGTATTCAATATATCATTTAGAAGTATTTTGTTATTAATAAATGTATTTCAGCATCTTCTTGGTGATGGAGTATTGTGAACAGGACTTAGCAAGCTTGCTGGACAACATGCAGATACCGTTCATGGAAACTCAGGTCAAATGTATAATGATACAGGCAAGTGATAGCTGAATGTCTCTCATAATTGTCATCCATGAACAATTAGGTCACTGTCAAAATGTTCATACACACAGTATCTTCTATGAAGCATTATGAAAATTGAACATATCTTTATAGTTAGGGTAATGAAAGGCAGGAGAATACAGTGTTGGCCTTACTGTCTACCTGAGTGCCAAAAGCTTAGATCTCAGTGTGCTGTATCCACACTGTCCCTGATTTGCTTTCTGGCATATGGAATCCACTTTTGTAGTTTAATTATGTACTAAAGTCTTAACTTCACCATCTTTTCATTGGCACTTTTACCGTAAAACCTCCATCTATTGGACTATGTTAGAGAGGACAATTCGTTATATTGAGGTTCGTTAGTTTTGAGGCCCCCCATTTAACAGACTATATGGCAAAGGATAATCCATTATATCAAGGTCAGAAAGATGTGAAACCTCCAATTAATGGACTATATGGGGGATGATAGACCATTATATGGAGGCTTCATTTATTATCAAAGAAAAGTAAGGTGGCAGTCTTGTATGTCTTCTATGTCTTGTATGTTGTTGATCTAACTTTCTGTCTCATTTACACACAATTGCAGGGTTTCAATTGTTTCTCTTACCATTGACAACACAACATACAGTACATATATTGCTTCTCACTCTTGATCTTTTTTCATTTTTGTGTTTCTTTTTGGTTCTTTATTATTATTATTATTATTTATTTTTTTTTTTTGTATTTTTTATTATAAATTTTACTTACCTGAATTATTATTATTATTATTTTATTTTTAGTTATTGTATTTTTTATTATAAATTTTACTTATCTGAATTATTATTATTATTATTATTATTATTATTATTATTATTATTATTATTATTATTATTATTACATATTATTATTATTATTATTATAATAATTATTATATCCCCGGCGATGTGGGTCAGTGACTTGTGCCTGGGTGGGCTAATCCCTGTTAAAAAAAAAATTGAGTGTGGGTGGTATATCTGTAGAGAAGTGACACTTAGATTCAATCTTTGCCTGGATTGGAGAAGTAGATGGTTGGAACAGTCTTTACCTGCTGAGAAATGCTAATTTGTGGGAACAACCAGTGTGATGTGCCTATTTTTCTTTTGAGCATCTGATGCTACACTGTTCATGTGTACACCATCCTTGCATCTTGTCTCAGCCTCTTTGAACGAGCTCCAATTGTTAGATCATAATAAATAATAACAATCTTGTCCACATATTGCAGTTGCTACAAGCTTCTCATACCCCAAAGATCATGTAACAAATCCACCAATCACAACTTGTGCTCACCCATGGTGTCAGGCACTCACTAATATCTACACAACTTAGTACTTTACACACAAGTAAGAGCATCCTGTATATAAGATGAACATATGTACATACACTCTCTACTCATCTCTACTTATTACATTTAGGGTACAATAACAGAAATACATATTAAGAAAATATGATACAGAATATCCCAGTTAGCCGGAACAATTGGTGCAGAGCATTTCCGGGTATTGAGACAAATTCTCTTATCCACGGAAAAAATCGCGCATCTATGGAATTTTTCCAGGAATCGGTGAATGTTTCTCCCATCTAAACTATGCATCTGGCATGTATCACCATTGGTATGGAGGTTTAGCTGCAGTTGGACAGACACAGTGGTATTTATTTATGCAAACACAACTGTATATGTACAGTAGGTTACACTATATTGTAAATAAATAAATATACTACTATATACACTACACTGTACTCACCAGCAGATGTTGTCATCTTGGGCTTGTGATGCAGGCAGGCCAAATGGTGATACTGTATGATGACACAGATGACCTGCCTTTGGTCTGTACCATCTACTGAAGCAAGTGTTACTGTCACTTCCTCCATGAAAGAGTGATTGTACACATTAGCCTACAATAGGCATACACTGTTCACTCTGCTATGTACTGCACTGTACTGTACTGTACTGTACGTATAGTAATTTCACACTTACTAACTGTACAGTATAGTATACGTAACTACAGTATTGTATAGTTTTTAACATCTTAACACTGTACCTGTACTACACAACACAGATAGGTATGCAAAAACAGCAGTGAGAGAACAGACTTGTACAATGGCAGCAGACAATGAACTAAGCATGTCATGATGCAAAAGTTTGAGGAGATAGGCAGCGAGATACATCATCCAATCATAGGCATCCCAAGCTGTCACATGACAGTAGTAACCAAACATAGCACACAAGCACTCTGAACCTACCCACCCATGCATTAGACACTTGACGCATGATGCAATCGCTCAGAAATTTTTTCGAATGCCCAGAATAGAGAGATTTTTCCCAGAATGTTTCGGAATGCAAAAATTTTATTTTCTGGGCAACGGAAGGTTCTGGGGATCAAAGATTGCGGCTAACAGGATTATTACTAGGATATTACTGTACAGTACAGGTACTGTATTGTATATGGATCATCAGGGTGGGAGTGAACATTAAACTGAGCTGGAGTATAACCTCTTTTGCTTAGAAACACTGATGTAATGAAACATTTGGAGAGTTTTCATTATTAATTTGATCTTAGATATATATTTCATTGTATTTCTGCACAAAAGTTGAATATTATTAAATAAGAGGAATACCAATACTACATTCCAGCACAGCTTAACCACCCAGCTTGTGATATTGATCGATTCGCCTCATGATATACGGTACTGTAATGAGGAGATTTACAAAAATTATTTCCCTTATGAAATACTGTAGCTGTGATGTATATGATTAGAACTGACAGCTATGCAGTCCACCTGATCTTTAGTACTGTATAGTATTATTGTAACCACGTGAAGAACACTTTGTTTTAAAACTTGAGCTTACTCTTATTTGTGTACACCACACATCAATTGGTTACAATGCGCACATATAATTTATATACGTTTATTATAGCTATCTTATTCTCCTGCCGGTTATCCCTATTTCAAGCATAGAGAATCATTCCTTCTACACAGAAAGAAATTAATAGATATATACAGTACTGTATGTTTGATAACATATACTATACTATTCTGTTTACTTCTCAACAGGTATTCAAAGGCCTTGCATATCTACATTTAAAAGAGATTGTTCATCGAGATGTGAAGGTGTCCAATCTTCTCCTAACAAACATGGGGACAATAAAGATAGGTATGCTTTGTAATTATTGAAGTTTTTTGAAAGTGGATGATAAGCAGAATTAAAAGAAAGTGAGAATTTATTTTTGGGGGGTTAATATTGACGACAGACCTACCGACTAGTTATCTGTTTTGGTGTTTATTTCCTTACTTTATTTTCATCAGTGAGTTCTGATGTGATAATCATTTCTTGTACAGTTAACCCTCACTTTACGCGGTTAATGTAACCCGGAGGGTACTGCGGAAAGTGAGGAACGCGTAAAGTGAATAACATAACATATGGGATTAATTGAAATAGAGTCCAGGCCGACCCCCAAACTCCACTTCTTGACGACACACAACTATGTTGTAGTAAAAATATTATCTTAACTTTATGATGGCATGCACACACAATTAATAATTAAGAGAAATATCAATAATATTAGGTTTTTTAACACTTACATTAGTAGAAAAGATGGCTGGGCACACGGGGATGGGCGGTTGGTTCCGAGGCAGAGGGCAGATTATTGGCCCTCACCTGTATCACTTGTATCAATTGTATCACTATCCACCACAGAGGCTTGCAGGGCCTCTTTGTCAAACCCCCCAAAGTTCATATAAGTCCATATCCTCACTATAATTATCACTATCACTGACTTGGGCCGGCTGTAGTGGGTGGCGGGTGAAGAACTGGTAATGTTTTGATGACTGGGCGACCTTGTGCGCACCATTTTCGCGCCACCTTACACAACATGGCGGATGGCGGGAGGTTTGGATCCAAAAATGGCGCAGCTTGCCAGCCGCTCTCCGCGTAATGGGGTACACGCACCGCGGAATGTGAGCATGTTAGGTTCCGGCAGGGCACCGCGTTAACGGTGAACCGCGGAATGCGGGACCGCGTAATGTGAGGGTTGACTGTACAAATACTTTGTGTGGTAGATGTTTGGGCGCCTAAGGTGCTCACTGCTTTGTATTCTTAGAGGTATTGCGGCAGTTTTATGATTAGGTTAGGTTGCATAAACTATGACAGTGTCCTCTATAAAACACAGTGAAATTGCGTCGCTTTTATAATCGTTTACTATGCTAAGTTGCCGGCGAGTCAGTCATCAATAATTACTTTTTTTTTTTTTTAATTATGTCCTGCTGAGGGTGGTATTTTTTGTGAATCAAAATGGTAAACCATAATATATATTTAGAGTTATGCATCTGTTGTAGCCATGTTTGGGTGAAGGGAAAGTCTGTGTGTTTCTTTGTTTTTGATTGTGTTTATCCTGAATTTGACTGTACTGTACAGTAGTGGGAAAAGACTTGAAAGAATACAGGATCAACCACTTTTTCCAGACTTGGGTATAGGTGTCTTTCTGCTGCTAGCACTAAAGTAAGAAACAATTTATTTTGTTAAGGTATTTTAAGGAAACGCTCTTGTTTGATGAAGTGTAAATAAACTCATTCTATATTTTTTTTTTTATATAACTGTAATTGTATGATATACAGTATGTTAGTGGATTTTTTTCTTCAAAATGCCTGCCTTCTTGGCTGATTTATATTAATCATGTTTTGTACTTTGTTTTTAGCTGACTTTGGATTGGCTCGTGAACTGGGCTATCCAATGTCTCCAATGACTCCACAGGTGGTAACACTATGGTACAGAGCACCTGAACTGCTTTTTCAGGTCAGTGTTTTGTACATTAATATTTGTGTTCAGGTACAGTGGAGTTACGATAATTTGCGAAATCCAAATTCACGTTCTTAAATTCATGGTTACCTCTATTACTACCTCTTTTTTTTTTTTGTCAAATATTCATAATTCGTGATCAGGCGGCAGCTACCACAGTGTTTATTAACATAAAAAACTATAAAAGTTGTAGAAATATCATTTCAGTGCTCTAATGTGACTTAGAAATGAAGATAATATAATATGCAGTAGTAATATCTCAGTTAGCCGGAACCCCTCAAAACCCGGAACTCTCTGATAGCCAGAATTGAAATTTTCTCTGAAAATCGTTCCCAAAGTCAGAATTTTCAGGAAAATTACGGTTTTGGGAGCGTTTTTCCAAGGTGTACATTTTCTGCAAAATTCCGAGAAACTTTTCCCAATAGCCGGAAAATTCCGGTGATGGGTGAATTTTTTTCCGGGTTTGAGAGATGAAAACCATGTGCATTTTCCAGAAATTTTGAGAAAACTTTTCCAGTACCCAGAGAATTCCGGGGATGGAGGATATTTTTTCGGGTTCGAGAGATGGTGTAATGGGCAATTTCTGGAACTTTAGAACAAAAATTTCCGTTACCCAGAAAATTCCGGGATGAAGGATTTTTTCTGGTTTTGAGAGAGTCATCTCGTTACCTGGAATTCTCTCATTCCCGTAAGTGCTCTGCACCAATTGTTCCAGCTAATGGATATACCACTGTAAAACTATAAAATAAGAAAAAGAAGAATGAGAAGAGAATTTTGTGAGGGAGAGATGGGAGGTATGGCAGTTGGGCTGGCTGTACTGAGCAGAAAATCCCCACCCTCTACTATTGGAGGCTCTGTCACCCTTGTAACCCCATTAAAATGACGGTATGGAATATCACCATAAATCCCATATTAGTTAGGTTCATTTAATGCCGGGTTAATAAAGCATTATCGTAGAATAATAAATTTTCCCCCCAAAATCCCACACTCAATCCCAGATGAGTTACAGTATTGTATTGCATTAAATTTTAAGTGCTTTGTTTACACAGTGTGAAGAGCTGACTAGCCAGCCAGCTCATACCCATGCCTGTCTCAATGTACTGTAGATGCATTGGTGTCATCCAGAGGGCGATTATGAGAAGGGAAGGAGCTGTTTATGTAATACTGTATTGAATTACATTTTGTACAATATGTATGTGTTACTGTATTTTTTTATGTACAGTATTATGTACAATATTTACTGTTTATTAAAGCAGTTTTTGAAAAATTTATGCATATTGTTTGGCCTCCAGAACCTAGCTAATTATTTCCATTTGAATCAGTTAAATTATAATTCTCTATTTGATACTTTACGATGTCTTATGGCACCTAACCTGTGAATTATTGCAACTTCACTGTCCCTGCATTATGATTTTATTATTAAATTTGATAATATCAGTTGCTGACAGTATTATTGTTTTAATAAAAAAAAGTGTAATGCTGTATGTTTGAAAGCCTTTGCTTATTTCCTACCCTTGAGGGTTTTTTTTTTTTAGATAATATACCTTTCCTATCCTCTCTTTACAATTGGTTGGGTTCCTTGAAAATGGTTCGTTAAGGAAATTTTTGTATCAAATAACAGCAAATGGGGAAAATAAGATTCAGTTCCCAATGACAAGAAATCCCCAATATTTTACTCCAAAAACATGAAATCGGTTCACTAACAACAACAAAAAAACCTACCTAACTACTGACAAATAGTACCCAACTACTATAATTTTCTACCAAACACATTAAAAAAAATATATAAAAATACCGTACAATATAACTTTGGTACGTTACCTTAAGGGAGGTCAGTCAGAGCTCACCACGAAGGGTGAGGATGGGTGGGTTGAGTTAGGGCCTTACTCGCTGAGATGAGGACTGTCTTCCTCATTACTGCTGTCTGCAAAGGACATCACAATTGCACCCTAGGTGGAAGGGGTGAAAAAAATCCAATGGAGGAGGGAGTGGATATGTGCCTATAAAAATAGGAATGAGTCATTGTGGGAATAAATTGGTGGTTCATTTGAAATTCACATTTTGTTTGTAGGTAAACCTGTATGTATATCTGATGTATTCCATTACTACATATGAACTACTAAACATGCAAATAATATTGCATTTGAAGGCATTATTAGGCTAAGACACGGGTAACAGTCATAGACACAAGTACAGTAGATGGTTCTTTTGGATATGTGCTTTTGCTGATTTATAAATCAATAATTATGTATATATCTGGTTTTCCTTTCCACATTTATATTATTATACTGTATGTGCATCTAAGTTTTCTTTGTACCATTAGGCTAAGACACAAACAACAGGTGTTGACATGTGGGCTGCTGGCTGTATCCTTGGGGAACTCCTGCTTCACAAGCCACTACTTCCAGGAAAGTCAGAAATTGAGCAAATTAACCTCATCATCAATCTTCTGGGTAAAACATATTATAAATTATTACAATGAAATACTTTGATACTTCAGAGGCTGGAAATTTTTATAATGGAACATATTCATTATATCAGTGGCAGTGAATTATTATGGTGAAACACTATTTCAGAGTAGTACACAGTAACACAGTCATAAGAAGATGAATTGATTACAGTAGTAGTTCTGGAATGTGACTTGATTCATTGAATTATGTGGTAAGGATACATCTTGATAATGTTCTTTCTGACAGGTACGCCAAATGACACCATCTGGCCTGAATTCTCACAGCTGCCAGCTATTGAGAACTTTACACTGAAATCCCAACCATACAACAATCTGAAGACAAAATTTCCTGTATTATCACCCTCTGGGCAACGTCTGTTAAACTTTCTTTTCATGTATGACCCCAAGAGGAGGGCTACAGCGGAGGAGTGTCTAAAAAGCTTATATTTTAAGGAAAATCCTCTGCGTACGTATAATTTGGTGTTGCTCTCTTATATACTTTAGTATGTCTTTTTTTTTTTTTTTTTTTAGTGCCAGAACCTGTTAGAAGATTCTGATTGGTTTAACATTTAGTAGTGCACCCGACCCTTTCTTTATGCAAATTCACAATTATGCGAGGACCCTACTTCTACTCACAATTCACTTAGGTAATGTAAAAAAATTTCACTATTATGCGGGAATAACAGTAAGAATATGGCTGAAGATAAATACAGTGATATCTCTGTTAGCTGGAGCAATTGGTGCAGAGCACTTCCGGGAATGAGAGATTTACAGGTGTAAAGGCCTGGCCTTTGGAATATAAATCCCTTGCCAGCCTAATCAGGATCTTATAAAAAGGAAAGTCAAGAACCATGGGTTTCCAAGGGGTAACAAACAACCGTTAGAGATTGACATCTCTTACTACGAGAATAATCACAATACTTTAACTCTGACACCACTAACACAAATATTAAATAAACAGCACTGGAGTCAAACAATTACTTAAAACAAAAAAATCAATAAAACACAGAACAGGTATTTCCTATGGCTGCCGATGAATCTTCCTTCTAACCAGCCCTGTATAATGTTCTGGTAATGCGGTGATCCACTCTCGGGGGGAAGGTCCAGGGCAGCTTCCTTACTTGGTACTGGCATTGATGGGCGATGTCATGCCACACAAGAGAGATGCCAGGGCACGGACAGTGGATAGGGCATGGAAGAAGATGCGATCACATGGCAGCCGTGGCAGTAGCTGGAGTAGGTGACCGGAGTTGACAGCTGAATAGTGAAGGACTGGGGGATCAGCCCACGAGCCCCAGGAACCTCAGATGAGTACACAACCAGAGTTAGAATTGAACAGCGGGGTGAAGTAACAGCTGTGGTGAAGGCTGGATCATGTCTGGCGTGCGACAAGGCAGCAGCGATCTTCTCACCTCCGCCTACCCCCCCTAGTGGGGCCGCAAACGAGCGGGGGACAACCATCCTGCTCATTACAGCCCTTACATCGGGTAACAGAAAAATTTTCTCGGAAGTTCCAGAAATTGCCCATTATGTCATCTCTCAAACCCGGAAAAATATACCCCATCCCCGGAATTTTCCGGGTATCAGGAAAATTTTCTCAGAATTTTCTGGAAAATGTGCCCCTTGGAAAATTGTTCCCAAAACCATAATTTTCTGAAAAAAAAAATGCCAGATTGAGAACGATTTTCTGAGAAAATTTCAATAATGGCTATTGGAGAGTTCCAGGTTTGAGGGATTCTGGCTAACGGAGATATTACTGTATTGGAAAGAGGTGACAACCTTTACTTCACTCAGGTAAATAATTCCATCAGCTAAATTTACATCAGCATGACCTGCAATATACTACTGTACAGGTACACTTATTCTTTTTTTTTTACTGAAGAAAAATAATTGGTTTAATTTGCCTCCAACAGAAGTACTATTTCCTGTTTGTAATGCTTGATTTCACATGAATAAAAAAAATAGTTTTAAGTAATGAAATACAGTACCTCAATATTTTCAAGCAGCAAATGTTCTAAACAATGTATTAAACTGTTACTAAAAACATTTACCAAGTGGTTCTCAGCCTGAGTTCCACAAACTCGTGTGCACTCCCACGAATGCTTTGGTACTAAAATTTTTAATCTGGAAAACTTCCAATAAAGTGAATAATTACTTACTGAGACTTAAATTGTACAGTACTTTAGTTTACTGATTTGACCTATTAAGCACTACTGTATTACAAAATATAGCACATGCAGTATGTTTGTCTTGACAATATGTTACCTTGTTTTGCAATGCATGGCATCATTGTTATGATCATTATTATGATTGGGTTTTGTGAGCTTGCACATTGGTGGTGATGAACTATGTCCTAAAATATGGCTTTATGGGAGGAGGGTGTCCTTCCTCCCTCCTCCAGGTCAACCCCTGTCAAGTGGGGCTATTAGGTGAGGAAGTAACCTTGTGAAATAGGGAATGGTAGAGTTTGTAAGATGAGTTCCAGAATGTATAACCTTGTGTATTTAAAAAAGTTAAATGAATGCCCTAATACTGTAAATGTAAAATCTTCCCCTTATAGAGTAGTGTTCTTGTAGACTAAAGGGCCATTCCCAGTATACTGTATCCCCAATTTATAACTTCCTTAAATGAAGTGTTTTATTTTATTTTCAAGCATGTGATCCAAGGATGATGCCAACGTTCCCACAGCATCGTAACCTAAAGCAGCCATTGGGAATGCAACAATCAGCGACATCTGCTATAACCCAAGTGCTTGCAGGACAGCCAGTCAATTTGTACCCACAAGAACGGCAACCACCAGAGCCTGTACCTAGTACTAAACTTGGCATCAGTGAACTTTTGAACTCAATCCAAAGAAGATAACAACAATTAGTCCTCAAAAATAAAGAATTGTGTATCATTTATTTCTTGTCAACTCAAATCTTTTTAAGGGACAAAAAGGCTGATGATGAATTACCATATCTTACATAATTTGGTAACATACCATTCTGCAGGTCATTGGTGAAGTGATTTGAGGTTTGGGCTTTTCATATCCATATTGGAAATGTAATTATTATAATTCCTTACGATGGACTGAGCTTATCATTCATCCCAGGGTAAGGGAGAGGCCAAGATTTTGTTATAATTTACATGTGTTTTGTGAATTGAATTGAAACAGTTTATTTGGCCAGAAAAAAACAGATACATAGTGGATAATAATAACAATATTAACATGGCTGAGCCAGTTGAGAACCTGAGCTCTATTTTGGATGTAAAATTCAGATTTGGTGAGAGCATCTTTTTTTGTAATTGATGAAGAAGTACGATTGATAAATATAATTAATGGGAGCATAATGAACAAGAATCCCAACTCTTGATATGCAGTACTCTGAAGTAGATATACAGTAATAATGCTTTGTATTTTTTTTTAAGTTTTGTTACTTACTACTTGCATTGAGGTTTTTTAAGCATGTATCCTCTGTTATTTCCCTTATTTAATTTTGTGTGTTATAGGTAAAGTGGGTTTTGTATACAGTATATATTTGAAAATTTTAATTATTCACTCTACATTTTGTAATGTACAGTAGCTAAAACAACTATTTTTGCATACTTTGTGTGAAACAATACGAGACCACGGTAATAAATTTTGGTATATGAGGGCTGTCACTAGTCACACGTAAAATTTCGGAGTATGTCGACCTCCACCTGCACAGATAGTTGTTTTAGCTACTGTACACGACATAAACCAGGTGACAGAAACATATGCAGAGTGATGCCAAAAGATGATCATGAATAACAAGTATTGATCACAAGTACAAAGGGAATTATATAATTTGCTATTAATTATAGATTGCATTTTTGTATTCGAATCGTTTCTTAGGGGGATTGACGGGCTCGGGTGACTTCAGCTCTTATTTTTAATTGATTTTCTTGATCGAGTTATGTGTAATGTATCCATATGCCGAGATGATTATATCAAATTTTCATGTCATTCAAACAAGTTTTTTTATTAAATAAAAAGTGAAATTTGAAGGAAAAAACATGTTTTTTCGAAATAACGGCCTCAACCGACGGCCGATTATGCTGAAAAAATTATCAAATACTCCTGAAGTAATTCTTGGGATATGCATTTTGGCAGAATTTTTATTTTCCCTTTATTTTAGCATGTTTTTTTTTCCTTGTTTAGAATATATTATTAATTTATTTGAAAAAAAATAAAAAATCTACCATAATGAACAAAATAGTATTTTTTCTCTTTCAAATGACATATAGTACTGGTACTTTTGGAGTTACAGGAAAATCTTGATAAATTGGACTTCAATACTGTACAGGGTATATAAATTTTTTTTTTTTTTTTTTTTTTTGTTCAAACCTCAGAATGCGACGCCTAGCTTTAACCTAGGTATGTTAATGCTTAGAAAAAACAGCTTTTTTTGGACTGAGATGCTCTGGGCGCCAGAAATACAAGTACTAATACAAAAAATCCACGTTTTAAGAAATGGGGGAAGATCATTAGTATTTATCAAGTGATGATAAATACACTACTGTACTGTACTAATTTACTAAGTGTTGAAGACACATTGTGGTAGGCCAATCAGTTGTTTGCTCTTTGTAAACAAGTGACTCATGGTTTTCAGTGTGGGATTCTTTTTCAGGAAAGCTGATTCTTTTAGGATAATATTTTATCAACTTGGCACCAAATGATCCTAAATTATAAGAGAATTATAGTGAAATTGCATAAAGAAGTGTTAAAGGAATCTTGGGAGAGATGGAGAGGGAGTACCCACCCGTGCTACCCCCTCCCCTCTGCCAGCTGATTCCAGATAAACACTCGTCTTCCACATACAATATACCCCTACACTTATTTGTTCTTATTTTTATCTTTATAGTACTGTACAGTATACAGTTTTCTCTTTATTCTTAAGACAAATTCTGTGGTTGTTTACATATAACACTTTACAGTAAACAATCATCTCGGTGACAATAGTTGTTGACAACCAGACTTATGTCTGATTTTCAACCCAGAGAGCTCTGTTTCATATTTTTTTTTTATTGTTGATGTAATATTCTTTTAATAACCCTGTTATACACTTTAACCTCTCGACATCGGAGCCTGAGACGTTCATTACGCTCAGCCTTGGAGGTTTTTGCCAAAAAATCTTTGAAAAAAAAATGAGGGTTCATTTCACTGCCATGGAATTGTTTTATTAATTGTATTGGGGTTTCTTCTAGCGTAAAATTGTCTGAAACCATAAAAAATTTAAAATTCTTGAAATTTAAGCCACTTTTTTAGAGTATAAGTTCAAAAAGTAAGAAAATGTTTAGTAACATCTCGATTTCCATTCACATTTTCCTTGTTTTATGGTGTTTATTAATAAGTACTATATACCAAAATAAACAACAAAGCATGTAGAATATTGTGGTATAAGTGAAAATAATATAACACAAAAACTCTTGGAATAATTAAAGGGCTGAGCGGCTCACGCTCTAATGGCCAGATCGACACTGGCTTCATGCTGCGGCAACGCACACGATGACCGAGACTTTCTAGGGGAAGGTGATGAGGCCCACACGAAGAAAACGACATCTGTCAAATGGCGTCCAAAGTTCAGTCAGTTTCACTGAATAGTTCTTGAGTTACCATATTTGAAAATATAGCCCATTGGACGCCACGGTGCAACAATGGCGTTGTGCGAGGCTGAGAAGGTTAAAGACCTTAGTTGTTGAAGTGCAGTAATAACATAACATCATTTGATTTTCTTTATACAGTGTTACCTCCCCCCCTCCCATATTCGTTTTTGGGGGGACATAAGTATTTTTTGGATGCGTCTGTCCCAGTTAGTCCAATTAATTGAGGTTCAAATGTATTTAGAGAAACTACAGTATAGTTTTTCGTTTTGAGATATGGGGCTTCAACATTTTTTTTGACCATTTCTTTCCTCCATAATCTGTCCGATTTTTACTGGATTAGCAGGTACGTATCAGAAATCATTCTTGGTACATTCTAGAACATTCTCATTACATTCTAGAGTCGAGACCATTGATGTGACACCTGGTCCCCCCTTCTAAAAGGTATTCGCTCGACGATGAGGGTGTCGGGAGGTGCCACCTCCCTCACTGTAGCCAGATTTGATCTAATTAGGAAGCCACTGGTTCATAATCATTGCTGAAGGACAGCTTGCGCTTCTTTCTGGCTTGTTTTGGTGTTGTTGACCGTGCTGTCATTGCTTCTTGGGACTGAAGTGTCTTCAGGATGTCTGGATGAGTCACGAATATCCTCGACATCAAGTTGGCCTTATACCCGGCATTGTGCTCTACAACAGTGACTGACTAGAAAGGTTACTCAGAAACGTCCAGCAAACCTCGACTTGGGGTATTTCTTGAGGTCTGGAGCTGTCAAGTCCCTGTACGTGCTCTTGGTGTACTTCATCTTTTCATTAGGAATTTTGGCCAAGTACAGTTTCTTTGTATCATGATGTGCTGGGGTCTTTTTCAGTGCTGTTTCTCTGTTATACCAACACCACGAAGCAGGACCTGCAGGGCAAAATTTGTGAGTAGATTGCTGTTCCATGGAAGTCAAGCGGAAGAATGAGGCCCAAATTGCTTCCCTCATCATCTTGATGTCGGTGCCCACATTATCACAAATGGCCCTGCATTAGTAGGAAGAAAGGTGATCAATAACTTCAACTGTGAGCATGTTGGCACTGCCAGTCTTGGTTGTAATCATCTAACTTGTCTCCTTGATCTTCCAAAGCCTGGTGCCCATCCTTTTGCCAACATGATTTATACACTCCCCATTGGTGACAGGGACATGGTAAGGGCCACGCCCGCCATTCAGCTCGCACACAGACTTGTAAGAACTCGCATCCCCATGACCAACAAAGGTTATATAACTCAGGCGGTGTTCAGTGGAGAGAGACCAAAGATGAAATGCTCCCTCACTCTCCATGGCACCTGACTTTCCATCAAAGTTCTTGTGACAGGCGTGTGTCTCCTTTTGTTATTTCTTCTTTTTCTTTGCTTTTTTTTATGCAGGTTGGGCAGCAGTTGCATATCACTTCCATGTCAACCACCAATCCTGTGTTGACTTACATAATAAAGCCAACACTAATGTGCGACCTGTGCCCCTTGGTCATCCAAGTGCCATCGTATGACACATCGATATCTAGGATGCGATCTGCATCTGGTTGTGCAAGATTTTCCTGGGTGTAATAGTTGAAGATGGCATCTCTTGCACTCTGCATCAGACTAGTGTAATGTTTTTCCATCTTCTGGAACAGATAAGTGCAGTAATGTGAGTATGTATAGGCCGAGAAACCGTCTCCTGCAAAAAACCAGTACTCTTCTTAAGAGTGTCAAAAAAAAAGAAAAAATACAAACCAATAATTTAGCACTGTATTGCTATTTATCTATTGCTTACTACTCCTCTTTCCTCACTTTTATTGGTTAACATTTCCAGGTTCATATCTTTCGAGTGGATGGTTCACGGTCTTTGGCTCATATCATTTTACCCTTAAGTAATTGCGTCAAGCAGGAGCTTCCTGGCATGAGACCACGTTTGCAGTCCTTTACAAAGTTATTTTGGAGTAAATGTTTCATCATGGCATCTCCTGTAATACTCTCTGGTACTTTGTTGAGGGCCTTTTGCTCATCCAAGCATCATAAGGGGCTTGGCAACTCGTTGCACAACTATCTTAAATCTGGGATACACACTGTCAGGGCCGAGGCTTTTATGAACCTTTAACTTTGACAATTTGCTTCTTATACTCTTCTAAGAACATAATGTGCTTCAGTGGTGTGTCAAACCGTCTTTCTTGAAATGCTGGGAGTTTATTCGCATTCCTGTTGTGAATACCGAGGAAAAGATTTTGTTTAATGCCTCTGCTTTGTCCTGATAAAAATGTAACTACCATCTTTAAGCCTCAGATTAATAATCCCACATGTGTCTTTAATTTCGAATTTGCGTAATAGTAGAAAGCCTTTTGGTTTGACTCAGGTGAAGGGTTGATCTCTTTTTTACTTTTTACTTTTATCCACTTCACCACTGATCGGCTCGTTAGCCGCTTGGACGATCGGTCACGTCTCATTTGCAATCTGCCTCTGGAACTCTTATTCAGTCCTTCTTAACTCTGAATTTACTTGGAAGAGATAAAAGATGGATTGTTGAAAAAAAGAATTAAGACTTAGCAGCAATCGAGATAAGATAGAGATGAGTGTTAAGACATATGTTGTACTGTACAAGTGATTGATTTAATGAGGGGAAGGTGGGAGAGTAATTCCAAGAGGCACACTTAAAGCTTTATTGGTTCTGGAATGTCTTTTACAAGCACTGTAGAGTGTAATGATAAACTTTGACTTTTCCATAAACACATTTATTGGGCATCCATTTAAGTGAAAGTGGCTAAATATAAAAAAAAATCACAGAGATGCTGAAGATAAATAAGTGACACAAAATAAACGAATAAGTAAGACAGAGTAATATAGGAAGACGAAGTGTACTAAAATAGGATGAAAGAGGATGAACGACTATTGTAACAGATCCAAAAAGAGTGCTTCAGGGGGCAGGAGACGGCATTGAAATAAACTAACACTGGGAAATCACTCGCTGTTTTTATTATTACGGACTGCGTAACAGTTACTTTAGTATTAAAGTTAACCACAAGATTTATGAAAACCAATTCCGAGACGAGGAATGTAATGATAAAATGAGAAATATGTGTCAAGGATTGAACACGTCACAGTTGTTGACTTGAATAATGGCTAATGTTAGTAAACTACCGCGAATGGAACAGGGAAAAAAAATGATCAAAATTAAGATAGTATCGTTAAATTAAGTTTAATTAATTTTGTTTTGTTATTTAGGTATATTTTTGATCGTTTTTCTTTATAAAAAAATATATTTGGCATTAAATTAATGTTCGTGAAGAATACTTAACATTGCTCGGACCTGTGTGACAGCCGAGCCGTCAACACAACATCTGGAGGTGGCCGAGCTGCTGTGCTTCCGTTAATATGTTGACTGTAGGAAGAGTTACTGTGCTCTGCCTGGTTGTGGTGACGGCAGCACAACAGAGAGTGGCCCCTGGAGTACCTACGGGACAATATCAAGGTGGACAACAACAACAGGTACGGTGGTATGAGCTGGTGGAGAGTACCAGGTCAACGTTCTTGTTGTAATGTGTTTTAACATCAATAGTCTTAAGCTTGTTCTCTAAGCTGACCCATACACTAGATAACAGATATAAAAAAATACTGAATGTAGTTATTCCTTAGATGAGCGGATATTTTCACTAATGCAACGACCCACCTGTTCACACCTGGGTGACCCACCTGTTCACACCTGGGTGACCCACCTGTTCACACCTGGGCGACCCACCTGTTCACACCTGGGTATTATTTCACTTGTTGCCACCCAAAGAATTTTTAGAATTTTATGGTTGCAATCAATAGTTTAGACAAATCTAAGGTATTATTTAATTTCAGCACACAACATTCCTACCCCTAATCTATTATTATATTCGAATAAGACATCTAATTATAAGATAATTTTTTTCTATGACATTACCGTCACAAATGTATAATAAGAGATAGTTTATCCAAAATTTTCTCTATTTTCTTCCATTAATCTTCCACCATTATCACCTACAACAAATTGCGACACTTGTGACCGACCAAATCTAATAATATTGAAAAATTAATATCTCGGTTATCCTTAATTTCCGGTGGAAGTATCACAGAAGAAAAAGGTCTTAGAATTGTCCAAACATTATGAAAAAAATATTAATAACAATGAGAGAAAGACCAGTGAATGATTGAAATTTCACCATTTGGTTTGGCTAATATTTAGTTGTTGCCTAACTGAATATTGAGTCCTATATGGAGAGGTAAAGAAAAAAAATACTAAAAAGTTTGTCACAAATTTATAGTTTTCACGTTATTTTAACTTTTATTTTATAATATTTGGTCAATCCGTGTGAGTGCCGATGTGACATAATACTCGTGCGTTAATCAGCATTCCCGGCCAGTTGGAAGATGGTGTCTGTATGAGATGGATGTGCATTGATTGGCTGCCACATTATTCAGTGCATTTTGGACAATGAAGCAGCAGCCATTGTCATTTTTAGGGTTCACGGCAGTGCATGTCCAATACTTGCCAAGAGTGCATAACAGAGATGTGACTGACAGCCCAAGCAGCTAACGAGCCGATCAGTGGCAAAGAGGATAAAAGTAAAAAAGGTAAGGTAAACCTAACCTAACCTAGCTTACCATTCCTATAGAAGAAAATCGATTCCGAACAAAAAAAGAATCCTAGTGGTAATGGTAATAAATCTGAAATAGCTATTGGGATAAAATCGAATGTTAACCAAGAAAAGTGTCATAGAACTGTCAAAATTATTAAGATGGTTTGGGCTTCAAAAAGGGTACAGAGGCAATATACCGGGTGTGTTGAGCTGATGGGGACTTCCTTGATTGTGGAAGGGGGTGTTGTATTGGTATGGTGGCCTGGGGACTTTATCTGTCAATATCACCCCCTCAGAGGGAAACACCCTGTAGGAGTGAAGCATCTAAGATGACATTTTAGATATCCTAGTACAGTTGGATGCATTAACTCCAGCTATTTATTGTAAAGTTTGCTGAATGGTATGTGAGTTATGATTACTCTACAAATACAGTAATGTAATGAAGCAAAATCCACTTAATAGGAGACAGAAGCAAAAAAACCAAAAACATTATAAAATGGGGAATACGGTGATACCTCCGTTAGCTGGAACAATTGGTGCAGAGCACTCCCGGGAATGAGAGATTTCCGGGTAATGAGACGACTCTCTCAAAGCTGGAAAAAAATCCCTTATCCCCGGAATTTTCCGGGTAATGGAAAAATGTTCTCGGAAGTCCCAGAAATTGCCCATTACATCATCTCTCGAATCCGTAAAAAAAATCCCTTATCCCTGGATTTTTCCAGGTAACGGAAAATTTTCTTGGAATTTCCAGAAAATGCGCCTTATTTTCATCTCAAACCCAGAAAAAAATCCCCCATCCCCAGAATTTTCCAGGTGTCGGGAAAATTTTCTCAGAATTTTCCGGAGAATGTGCCTCTCGGAAAATCGTTCCCAAAACCGGAATTTTCCGTTAATTTCCGGCTTTGGGAACGACTTTCCGAGAAAATTTTAATTCCAGCTATTGGAGAGTTTCGGGTTTGAGGGATTTCAGCTAACGGAGATAGTACCGTGCAGAATTGTACAGTTTTGAAAATGGATGGGAAAGGCTGTAGTATCGGGGCAAATGCGATTCTTTCCTTTTTGTCCAACCTAACCTAAGAGTACAGTATATCTCAGGTGTGTCTATGCACGCTTTGGCATAAGTTAGGTTAAGTAAGATTAAGCCAATTATGGCTCCAGAAGCTACCAGTACCGTACATCCTTGCCAAAGCTGTTACCAAGAATTTAATTTTAGGTATCTGCTCCTGGTGTGCCACCCCAGCAACAGCAGTACCAGCAAGCACCTGGTGTTCCTCCTCCACAGCAGCAGCAGCAGTATCAACAACAGCAACAGTATCAACAACAACAGCAGCAGTACCAACAGCCCCCTCCTCCTCCACAGCAGCAATACCAACAACCTCCACAGCAGCAGTATCAACCCCCTCCACAACAGCCACCACCTCAACAACAGCAGCAGCATTACCAGGTACCGGTAGTTTTTTGAATTCCAATATTTATGAATACGGTTTTTATTAATCTGTTTCCATGTAAAAAAAATTATCCAGTCAAGTAATTTTTAGCTATGCTATTCTGATAGTCTGTTAAATACTTTCTGGATACAGGATTTGTATTATTTCCTAATGGTTCTTATTAACCCATTTTGTATCAATTGTGTGGTTGTATGAGGGCCTGTCTGTTCTCATACAGTATAACTAGTAAGTACAGTATGATCAATCCTCTTGTCTGATTATCTTGTACTGTACTAAGTAGGAATGTTTTAGGAAAGATTTACAGTAATTGCATTTGATCTATCTATAACCCATAATTATATATATATATATATATATATATATATATATATATATATATATATATATATATATATATATATATATATATATATATATATATATATATATATATATATATATATATATATATATATATATATATATATATATATATATATATATATATATATATATATATATATATATATATATATATATATATATATATATATATATATATATATATATATATATATATATATATATATAATATATATTATATATATATATATATATATATATATATATATATATATATATATATATATATATATATATATATATATATATATATATATATATATATATATATATATATATATATATATATACATACAAGATCACACAGGGAAAAGGGAACACGGAAAGAACCTTAGCTTTCGTCTTTATTCAAGACATCTTAAGAGGCAATTGAATTACAAAGACAGAGAGAGCTTATGTACACAGGGTGACCTTACAAAACATGAGGTCAGGTCAAAAAACATGACATCCACTACCCCACACACCAACCACCACAGCAAACATAGGTTTGAGAGATGAAAATCAGGTGCATTTTCTGGAAACGAGAAAATTTTTCCGTTACCCGGAAAATTCCGGGGAAGAGGGATATTTTTCCGAGTTCGAGAGATGATGTAATGGGCAATTTCTGGAACTAACGAGAAAATTTTGCCATTACTGTACTCGGAAAATTCCGAGGATGGGGGATTTTTTTCCGGGTTTGAGAGAGTCGTCTAAGACTGGTCTAAGACGATGATGGTGTTCATTGGTGATGTTGGAGTGGTATTTGTTCTTCACTAAATTCATGGTGGAGAAAGCAAACTCACAACAATAAGTGTTGTAGGGAACTGCAATGTGACTTTGTGCAGATGAGGGAAACTAGGTGGAGACACCTATGTCCAGAAAGTGACGGGATCACAATTACCAATATCCTCTTTCAGAGCCACATCTCTTGGAGTTCAATTAGTTCCATTTAGATTGATGCAGTACATACCCATTGAAGGTCTGTTTTGCTTCGTGTGAAAACTGGGAGACGTTTGTGACCAAGAGGGGGTTCTGAGTGAACAGCGGCAGGCGTCTTCTAAGAGAGAAATCATCAAAACGAGCCTTAAAATTATAAATAAGCTTCATGATGGAGCTCTATCTGTAGTGAGTGAAACCACTGACTTCAGATCTATACCCCTTTTTGTTAGCATCCCTTTGGTACTGGGGTCCACACCAAAGCTCACCAAAGTTCAGGTTTGGACTGCGGCCCGTAAGCTGCATAGCCCTGGTCAACTGTACAGTATATGGAGTATGTATACAATATTATAGATATAAAATATTTACAATTACCAGTATGCTGAGGTTTTTGTTTCACTCTCTGCTGGTCACTGAAGTTGAAAAGTTTGGGAACCACTGCGGCCGAGAGGGTTTAAATTCTTTTAATCTAATACTTTCTTTCAGTTTAGCATTGTTTGAACTTTGATCACCCCAAAAATTTATCTGAAAATTTCTCGCTTTATTTCCTATCTTTAAGCCAACACAAGTGGGAGGAGGCCATCAGACTCAACACAACCAGCAGGGTCACCACAACCAAAGAGTCCTACATGCTCCCAACCTTAGCAAGGAACGTGATCACATTAAGGATCATCTTGAGGTACCTATTGACACATCAGGAATGTCTGAACAGGAGCTTCAGTTCCATTACTTTAAGATGCATGATGCAGATAACAACAACAAACTGGATGGGCAGGAGCTCATCAAGTCTCTTTTCCATTGGCATGATGCAGCCAACCATGATCAAGGGAAAAACGGTCATGCTCCACCTGAACCTAAACTCTTTACTGATGATGAATTAGTGAATATGATTGATCCAATCTTGCTTCAGGATGATAAAAATAAAGATGGCTTTATTGATTACCCAGAGTTTGTTCAAGCACAACGTAATGCTGCTGCAGCAGCAGCCAGTTCCAATGCTCCGTAGAGGCATTCATCCTTAGTTATCTCTTGTGGAAGTTGATAACTACAGTACTGTACATTTATGAAGAATATTTTTTGATCATCTTTAAGCATTATATTTAGACCATGAATGATTAAAATCATCAATGTATTTGTGGAATTTTTTTTTTTTATAAAATTAAATCTGTGCTTCCATATAGGGGTGCAATTGGAAGGGAATTTATGAAAGGAGTCATAAATAGTTTGAAGACAACAATTTAGTGACTTTCTCCTCAGGGTAGAATTGACAGGAATTTTGATAACATGATTGACAAGAGGTAAAATTGATGTACAGCTGAACATTTGCTTATAGATTATGGAATTCTTGTTGAGGATTAATCTTTGTATCTTGGAATTAAGGATATTTATTATATTTGGTGTTGTGATATTTCACATACAGCTGCATCCTACCATAGATGGTTCAGAGAATTATTGTTACGTATATGGTACAAGCAATTGTCATAGCTTATTGATTCCTGTAATGTGAGACCACAAAATGGAAGTACGATTACAGTTAAAATACTTTTACTGGAATTTCTGCAGTAGTTGTGTACGGAGGGTCCCTGGGTTACGAATGGGTTCCGTTCCTGAGGACGTTCTTAAGTCGGATTTATACGTAAGTCGGAACACATGCTGTGTGCATACTGTACAGGTACTTACAGAACAATGTTTAAAATCTCATTACATCATAGCTTAATTCCTTATATACAGTACATATAAAATCACTTAATTTGAGAGAAAAGAAGAAATAGTGACAAAATTCAGTAAATGAAAGTAGAAAATACGTCCTCATGTAAATTAAATATAATGTAAATTTCAAGTTTAACCCCATTCATATTGGCGGATGTTCTTAAGTTGGGGATCCCCTGCATTTTGTATGATTATTATTACGTATTATTATTATTATTATTGTTTTGTTTTTTTGTAATTGAATTAACTTTCTCTGAAGACTATTGTGCCTGTGATGCTTCTTACATAAAATCATGCCTAGTGTGTGATAGGGTTGCAAATTATAGTGTTTCAGTATCCATTGATGTTCTCATTTTGTATACTGGAAGCATAGCAGTAAAAAATTATTTGTGGGGTTAAGGTAGCATTAGAAGATGCTTAGGGTTTTTTTTTTTTTTATTTAAAGTTATCTTAGTCAAGATATGATAAAAGATAAATATGAGTACAGTACAGTATATAGACAAGCATTTACACACATTCATGTACCTACACTCTCAGTAATCTTGAGTGGGGTTACCGACTTTCTCCACACTAATTTTGTTAAAAATAACTTGGATATGGATAAGATTTAATTTTGTTTTTTAAAGATACTTCTTACACAAGGCTTGAGAGTAATTGACTACTCGATGCTTGTTAAGTATTAAAGAATGTTTTGGAGTGTGTTAGTTTAATGTATAGCAATTTTTAATATTAATTATGTAAGAGGCGAAAATATGAAGTTGTTCGCAGTCATATTTCCCGCCTCTGCTGACTATCGTGTAATATTTCAATGTGATTCTGATCTTTTAAAATGTTGTTTTTGCATAATATAGTATTACTGATACATAATTTGTCTTATTATGCCTTATTGTGGGTGAAAATATGTATATAATAAATGCATCTTCCAAAAGCGTGAATTTGCTACCAGAGTTTAACAGTTAATTCATTTATAATACTTCTGATAAACTTCCTATGTGCTTATGTTTGAAATAATGAATGTATGTACTGTATCTTTACATAATTTAGCTAGATATCTTTATCGTCAGAAACGGTCATCCCAACGATTATGAATAAACTCATTTAGAAATACATCATTACTTCAGGACAAAATCAGACAGGTTTGCAACTCTTGGGGAGGGGGCGGGGCATCTTTTCTCATCTGGGAAAAAACACGCTATAGTTAAAATGTCTTATGATAATATGAGTTGAAAGCCTTACCTTTCATCTGTATATATTTGTATATTATTTGTGTTGATATTTATTTTGAAGTGGTTGATTCTGTGTGTATACTGTAATTGTATGCCATGTGTCTAGTTGGTATAGTTTTAAGAGACCATAAATGATGGGACAGTACAGGTATTTGATAAAAGTAGTTATTATGCATCCAGAGGCATGGTTGTAATTAAGATTTTGTAAATAATATTTCCCACAAACCTAACAAACCTGAGTACATTTAAACTACTGTATAGGAGAATATCTAGACTCCATTCATTTTGGATAATATGCAGACATGAAATTTGTAAATACAGATTTCTACACAGTGACTTGACTTCTTGAATTGTTGGGGAAATGCATTTGTCCAGCAATGTGGAAATGAATATCATTGCTCGTTTATTGTGTAACGAGCACAGTTTTGTAGACCATATTATCTTATGGTGTAAAACAAAAGAACACACTCCTGCTGGAAACCACCTTTATTGGGTAATAAATATTATGGTTCACTGGTCTAGATTCTAGAATGTAAGATAAATAAGAAACGAAAGGATGTATGTGGAAATACCTGTAATACTCTTGTATAATACCCTTCACCTACAGTGCTGTCTATGTGTACAGTATATGATGCACCATGTTTTGTAGTCAAATGGTTATTTTAACTCTTGCACACTAATACAGTAATATCTCCGTTAGCTGGAATCCCTCTTAACCGGAATTCTCCGATGACCGGAATTGAAATTTTCTGGAAAATTCCAGTTTTGGGAACGATTTTCAAAGGGGCACATTTTTTGGAAAATTCCAAAAAAAATTTCCCAGTACCTGGAAAATTCTGGGATGGGGGATATTTTTCCAGATTCAAGAGATGATATAAGGAGCAATTTCTGGAACTTCCGAGAACATGTTTTCATTACCTGGAAAATTCCAGGGGTGAGGGATTTTTTCTGGTCTTTGAGGGAGTTGTCTTGTTACTCAGAAATCTCTCATTCCTGGAAGTGCTCTGCACCAAATGTTCTGGCTAACGGAGATATTACGCACAATAACCTCGTTACATTAGTCTACTCTTCTTACTCTTAATTTTGGTCTTCATCAGCATACTATTACCACTGGCATACACAGGTACTATCCTGTTACAGTCGTGGCACTTAATTTTTTGTATAACCATGTTTTGCTGTAGTTTGTCAATTTTTTTTTTAAATCATTCCTACTCCACCCATTCTCTAGTAATAAGAAAGGTAATGTGCAAATTAGTTCTGGGACTATGGATGGTTGCTTGTATAGTGGCCATATATAGGCCTGCATAATGCATGGAATTGTCTTAACCTGTCTTATGTGAAGATCTGATTAACTAATCTGGCCAAACCTGATTAAGCTAAGCCTTCATAAAAAAAAAAAAAAAAAGTCATGTGGATTTGCCCCAATGGCATTATTATTATTATTATTATTATTATTCTAGAAAGGTATGATTTAAGTATCAATATACTGTACCTTTTTAAATTTTTTTTCCAGATAGGATTTAATGCGAGGGTTTAAATTACTAACTGCACTGGTTATGGGTTTACATTTTTATACTTTCATCAAAAAATAAATTTAAGTTTTTTTTTTTTTTTCCTTAATCCTACAGGCCATCCTGCTGCCTGTCAGTGCCTCACTTGTTGGTAACTCCACCAATTTGTTCAACCAATTGTTACTAGTACACTACAAAAGTACAAATAAACTTTGGATGTTCCTGTGCTGTCTGCTATGAGCTAATGTTTTCTGATCACCTGAAAATTAATATTCCTATCCTGTGAAGAAATATACTCTTAGTTATAAAAGGATACCAATACAGGGTACGGTATCCCTCTTTAGAAGGCAATATATATATATATATATATATATATATATATATATATATATATATATATATATATATATATATATATATATATTGACCAAGTGTCAGTAGAATGAATAATGCTCATGAAACCTGGAATACAGGGAGGGAAAAATATTAACTTGTCACAACCGAAATATATCTGCCAGTCATGGCTATGAATTGGGAGACCCAGTATTAAGCCCTGTCCACGCTATTGGACAGTGACTGGCGGACTGTGCCCTCACCGGGCACAGTCTGTCTTGCATAACTGATATTGTCCACATTGCCAAGTAGGTGGTCGGCAGCCCCCGAGTGTGGTATCACCATGCGCAACACAGTTGCTGTATTTGTAAAAAAAGAAAAGTAAGGACAGTGTGCAGAAAACGATCTCGTGTAAAGAGTGGTCAAGTAGGAGAGAAGTATAGGGAAGTCATATGACGATATTACTTGAACTACAAGATGGAAGTTAAAGTGATTTCACCAACTACACACATGAGAATGGATATCAACACCTTTTACACACTCCTAGCTAAAGTGAAACCATACATAGCAAAGGAAGATACCCATCTGAGGCAGAGTATACCAGCAGCAGCCCGTCTCGAAGCAACTCTCAGATTTCTAGCAACTGGGTGCACATACTCGTCACTGCAGTATACCACGAGGATATCGAAGCAGAGTTTGTCACTCATAATACCAGAAACGTGTGAAGCTATACATGCAGTACTCAAGGAAGATTACTTGCAGGTAGGATTGTTTATATATTATTATTGATTGACACCACTTGTGTAAAGAAATACTGTTTATTGTATGAAGTAATTACATTCACTCCAAAATGTATGTACAAGACTCTCTCCATAAAATAACTTAAATATCAATAGTGATCATTATGTATTGTACCCGTCGTCGGTCCATGCCTGGCGCCAAACCACAGGGCAGTCTGTTGATTTCGCCCAACTACGGGCACGGGCTGTCCGCTGGTTTGCCCGTCAAAGTTGCCACAAAGTGTGCGATGATGGACTCATCACTCGTGCCCGATGGTCACTGTCCTATAGTGTGGACGGGGTTAAAGAGTGGTTAAGTAAGAGAAGTTATAGGGAAGTCATATGATGATATTACGTGAACTACAAGATGGAAGTGATCGTGATTTCACCAACTACAGTAGTCTGCATTTACGCTGATTTTGTTTATGCGTTTGGTCATTTATGCGGCACCTTGCCAGAATGAAAATTTTTAATTACGCGGGTCATTGCATCATTTATGCGGAAAGCTGCTCGGGCATTGTGCGCATTTGGTCGCCCTTACGTTATCGCTGATGTCATATGACGTATCGGACTGTGATTGGGCCACGCATCCCCTCCGCCGCTAGCTGTGATTGGTCTAATGTAACATGACGTGCCCTGCCACCAGAAGTCGCTGACCTAGCCGGGCCAGTCTCATTGTTCTCAGTCCGCGTATACAGTTCTCTTGTGCCCGCTATTCCCCTCACAATGGCTTCCGCTGGACCCCCACCACCAGAGAAAAACCTTGAATTACCTGGACCAAGCCATGGTTATGTGAAGGAAATTAAGCTCATCCTTGACAAAGACAGTCAAGCATTGGTATGAAGTGTCTAATACCCTACTGTCGAAAATTTTGGAGCCATATGTCCAGATCTATCACGACAACATCAAAGCTAGTCATCAACGTAGTATTACGGACTTCTTCGCCCGCAACCAACCACAGCTAGCCCAAGTCAGTGAGGATATGGACTTTGAGGGGTTTGTCAGGGAGGCCCTGCAAACCTCTGCGAGTAGTGAAAGTGACCGGAGGGCCACTAATCTGCCCTCTGCCTCGGAACCAGCCGCCATCCACGTGTGCCGACCCATCTCTTCTACTGACGTAAGTGTTAAGCACCTTTAGATTTGTAGTTTTTTATTTAGATATGTGTGTATCAATACCATCATAAAATTATGGTGTTATTTTAACTACAAGGTACGTATTGTCGGAAAAAGTGGAGTTTGGGAGTCAGCCCAGTCTCTATTTCAATTAATCCCATATGTTGTTATTTCGTTTACGCAGACCTCCACGTGTTCAATTGACTGCGTAAATCCAGACTATACTGTACATGAGAATGGATATCAACGCCTTTTACACACTCCTAGCTAAAGTGGAACCATCATAACAAAGGAAGATACCCATCTGAGGCAGAGTATACCACCAGCAGCCCGTCTCGAAGCAACTCTCAGATTTCTA